AAAACCCATCAATCAATCAATCAATCAATCAATCAATCAATGACTAGATGTTGGTGTACAAGCATAGGATTGCCGAGTGCAGGGAGTTGTTGCMAAGAGTTCATGGCCATGAATCCAACGAATGCCAACGCATACTTGTTGTACGGATCATTCTTGATGGAGAGGTATCCACATGATCCATCAAAGGAACAGGACATTAGGAATTGTTTCATGCAGTTGATCAAGCTGGATCCTCGATCAAACCATGCACTGGCAGTAATAGTGGACCTATACATCAACAAGAAATTGGATATTACAACATTGATGGATGTATTATACAATCGATTGATATTATTACCACAAGATGGCAACACATGGAAGCTTTGCGCTGACATTCTCTTTGTTGGATCAGTTCACAAGAAGAGCAAACTATTCCACACCAGTCCAACACTCATCGACAGCTGGTCACTCTACAGCAAGAAGCGATTCCTTACACTATTCAACGCAACATCCGATGCCCTTACATCAGTTTGTAAGTGTCCATCACTCACTCACTCAATCAATCAATCACTTACATTCCATTACTCACTCACTCAATCAATCAATCAATTATGTAGATCCAAGACTAGCTTATAAGTTATTGATATATTATCTTATTACCAAGGGTGGACCTTATGTTCAAGAGCTCATTAATTATATGGAACCATTCAATGTGGCATTGATGGAGACGGAGCTAACATCCAAGTTCAACATCAAGTTGTCTGATCTGGGTGTTGTCGCATCAAGTCAACTCAGCGCCACACAAAGGGACATCCAAGCACAAATCGGTTCTATTTACGATCCGTAATTCGTAAATCGTCAGTCGTTTGATATTTCGAAATATCTTTCCACATTTTCCCGTCATCAATCACACACGAGGTCCCTTTGAGACCTCAAGAAAGCCTAAGAAATCAATAATTCGAACGAAATCACGATCATTATTTCGGTATTCCTATCTCTTCCTCTTACTCCAACAATGTATTCACTTCTTTTGTTGACTCTCTTAGCCTGCGGCTCAGTATCCTTGGCTCAAAGTGTAGGTTAGTCTTCATCTACTTTCATTCATTCCATTCATTCATTTATACATACCAACTAACTTATTCACGTCTTTAATATTAGACTGTTCCTAATATGTGGTATGCCTTTGGTAATACCCAACTGCCTATTCAATTTCAATGCATCAATCTCGCAAGTGGAGTACCTACTCAACAGGTTAATATGAATACAACAAATCAATTCGTACTTCTTGGTGTCTTGGAGAAGTCAAGAAACGATCAATTCTTATTATTTGGAGCGGAGTCCCCTTCCTCCCCCTACTCAATATACCTCTATGATGCTCAGGTACTTCATCCTCCTTCCCCCATCAATCAATCAATCAATCAATCAATCAATCTATCAATGAGCCATCACTAACTCAATATCATAGACCAACATACTCACACTCAAACAACAGAGTACTATTTCCAACTTGACTGCTCAGGGTATCACTGTATTGGACAATGCCAATCTTGGATATGATGAGGCTAACAACATAGTTTATGGTATGGGTCATACCCTAACCATATTAGGATACGACCTTGGCATTCTCAAGTTCAACATGGCCGAGGATACCTAGTAAGTACCAACCACATCCCCAATAGTATCCATTCAATCATTCAATCAATTTAACAACTTTGTCCATCTAGCTCCTTCACCCATATTGATCAGATCCAGGGGTTCACTGGAAAGTACACCAACTTTTATGATCAGACAAGTAATTTGTTATATAATGCAGTGATCAATAGTAATACTTCGTTGGATATTATGTGGTATAATGTTATGACCAACTCAACAGAGGGAAGGACAAAGATACATTTTGATCAAAGTATGATGGAGTTCAACTTCCTCACCGTGCCCAACATCTATGTCTATCAATCCAAATTGTACTTCCTCACCATTCCAACAATAGTATACGATTCATTGTATATGGCACAAGTAGACCTTGCCACACATTCAGCCACAACAATCATCCTTGCACAGAATATGACAGTTGTCCCAGTTAATCAAATGGACTACCAACCATTCGCTTTTGATCCAGTGAATGGCTACATCTCAATTTACACCATGTTGTATCCAGAGAATAATTGGTACCTTTACATGGTTGACCTCAACACACTAGAGTACACCTCATCGATCCAGACCTTTAGCCTCCCACTCGGATCCATCTCTGTCTTGTCTTCGTCATCGTCATCATGAATGAAACGTCGTTTCACTCACACTTAAACCCTTTCAATCTATCATTATTCAATCAATTAATAATAAAGTATCACACTTATATTCGATTGATTATAATATCTTATAATCTATTATTAGTGTCATGAGGGCCCTGATTCAAAGGATTGGTACCATGCTGCAGACATAAACGCGGGAATCAGTGCATGTTATTTGAAAAATGTGGTCGTTTGTTATAAAAAATGGGTGTTTTGCCCACAAAATCAATCAAAAGGTCTTTAGACGTGAACCGAGTTTTAGTTAAAGGGGTCATTGGGCAATGAGGTGGTTGTTGGTTGCGGGTCATTCACCTTTGGACCTGTTAGAATGACCTTGGGCTAGTCCCCATTGTCGATCTTCATTTTATTTAAAGGACGTCATCCTTATCCACAAACACATATATAATATATAAATAACATTAATAAGTAATTCATTACTTATTTACTTACTTACTTACTCACTTCAAACGATTACTCATTCATTCATTCATTCATATAATCACAATCACAACAAAGAAGAGAGAGAGTGAGACTAACATACTATATTGGTCGATCACAGACCTCAACCTCATACATACACAACAAACAAAGGAACATTCAATTCCATTCACATATACACCATGGTGTTGTACAAATGTAAGTAATGTTAAAGTTAGTTCATGACTTCATCTTGATCCCCACTCACACTCACTCACACACACTCGATCAATCACTCAAACCGAACGAACGACAAAACAAACAAACACAGTAATACTAGTATTGTTGATCATATTATTGGTATCTTTTGGAGGATATAACAATAATAATAATAATAATGTACATGCATTTAATATAGAATCGGCAACTATAACGCCAAAGTTTGCCAACTTGTTGGGCGCAAACATAAATATAGCAATGATAGAGGTCACCTTTGACCAGGATCTATATCGAATCGATTCGATAAGTTGTCCAAACTTCACATGTCCGGCTCCAGCCGCCATCGATTGCTCTTGCGACTACACCAATCCACTGCGATGTGGACACCCCGTGTCGGACGATCCATCGTGTCCGCCATGCCCCACCTTGTACAACTACACATTGGTCACACACGAGCTGCGGCCTCCCGGCATGTACCCCGTCGTGCAGCTGCCCTACTGCGGCAAAGACCTCACATGGACGACCATTGAGGCCAACCGCACCTACACTATATACGATCTGTCGCAGGAGGTCGAGTTCCGCTACAAGGCCCAGCCCTACTGCGAATCCGTCACCATACGCATACGTATGGTCGGTGGAGAGACCAACGACAATGCCGTCCTAATCAATCATCAGCTATGGGCCTATCAAATATCAAACATTGGCGAGATCATGCGGGACATCTGCCCGGGCAATCAATCATTGCAACAGGATTATCCGTCAACAAGTGGCATCTGGACGGATGGCACATACTTTATCAAGTTTAACGCATCACTGGGTTCGGGCCCGTATGAGCTGACAGTGCTGTCGGCGCCCATCGCGCCCATCATCAAGTCCGAGGCCAAATGCACGACGGTCGATAAATATCATCGATGTCTATACGATGGCCAACTCATACTCGGACACAACTATGACTACTACTCATTCAATGTTACGCGACCCATGACACTGACCATGTCGTGCAAGGGCATGGGCACCACTTCACCGCGCATCTACGCCTCGGACGAGATTGTCTACCCATACCTAATGGACCACAAGTGGACGGACAGATTCGACAGTCGACTCACCATCCCCATCGAGCCATACCCCAACGGCACGGCAAAGATACTATATTACCTCATTGAATCTACAACCCATTCTTACAACTACACCTGCTCGATAACAAGTAGCGCGCCGACATGGATGCGCCCGCTGGTGTCGGACGGCGATCAGTACATAGAGTCCGATCAGAACGACCTGCAGAACTCGGCCGACCTGAGGACGAGCAACGGGTCGATTCTGAATGGCAACGGCAACTTTAATGGCGGCTTCATCAACATCTTCCCCAGGACGTTTGGCAACCCGTTCTGGCCAGTCATGGGAAACCTCATCAATAGCATCGGCAGCCTGTTCCCAGCTGGCAACATCGACATGTTGGGCACGTTCGAGCGGGACAACGCACCCAAGAAGCGCACATTCCAGGCGGCCGTCGTCCTAAACTACACTCTGCCCGAATGGCACCTGGTCAAGCTGTTTGACGAATCCGAGCTGACCAGTCTGCAGCTGGTGTTCCGCGGCGGCCTACTCGTGTTTAGTGATGGCACGCCACTACGGGGCAATGTGTCGCTCACGCTGGGCAGCCTGCCAACCGAGTGCGACTACGACAAGTTCCAGATCACGTACGATACATTGGCCGAGTTTGACCAGGGTGTGCTCCAGTACAGCACATTGACCAAGTTGACACGGGCACGCTACATGATTGACATGTTCATGTTCCGTGACGCTTGGCTCGTGTGTCAGAACCAAGCCGATCAGATGTTCGAGCTGACCGAGGCCGATCTAGTTATAAACACAACAAGCTGCAACTACACGCTGCCCTACCAGACAGATCCATGTTGCAACTTCACGATCTCATTCTTCCAATGTTGCCAGCAAAGACTCGCCACCGTCCCCTCCAAGGGATTCCAAATCGACAAAGGTATGTATATCTCCTTCCTTCGCATCATTCCAATCACTTACTCAATCAATCAATCAGCTCGAGTCCAGTCAAAGTGTTCCAGCCCACAATGTACAGAGTCATTGATATCTGATTACTTTGCCAATTGGCTAGAGGTGGACAGTGGCAAGTGTGCTATACTAAAGACAACGGCAATGGAGTATGCAGTGACAGAGTATAATCTAATGTTCCTCAAAACAATGGCCCAGTGTAAGGCTGTCTATGACAACGTGCGATGCTCTCGTGATGCCGACTGCCCAGACAGTCCATGCAACGTTGTGACCAGGCAATGTGAGACGCCAGTGCTCACCCAGGACAAGCGATATCTTGATGTAAGTTAACTAAATGCGATGGATTGGAGCAGGGATAGTTCCATCATTCACTGACTCACTCTCGCCATTCAAACAATCAATCATTTACATAGTGCCTGACAAAGAATGTATCATTGTCAGTTGTTGACTATATCGCGCACAAGTACTTTGGACTGAATGGCACATCGCCATCACTGGTGGATAGGATGTTTGAGTTGTTGGCAAAGCAGGACTGTACCACTACAACTGGTTTGGTGTACCGCAACCACATCGAATACACTAGCTACCTTGATTTCAACTTGACTGGACATTGCCTGCCCAACAAACCAGTCTACGACATGGCCATTTCTGATCTACACAACATATGCTTGGAGATATTCTATTCAAACTACAAGGAAATCAATTATAACGACACCTGTGACGAGGTGCAGCTGTGTCCGTGGTCTGGCTGCAACATATTGGACGACGATACTTGCACTAGCAGTTGCGAGACCAAGCCAGAGTTCTGCGGCTACTGTCCATCATCGACTTCTGCCTGCGTCGACTTTGCCTCGCTGACCAACAAGTCCAGTTGCGACTCGCAGCCACATGTTTGTTTGTTGACCGATGGCCAATACAGACTGGTGGCGAGCGAGCAGGAGTGCCAGCAGCTGGGCCGCTGCACAGAACCATGTGGATACCAATGCACAGGATACAAGGGATGCGTCTCGACCAGCATCCACAACGAAACAGAATGTATCGCAGTGCTCGATCACACATGGGACAACACCTTATCACTCTGTCTCAACACAATGACCCAACAGCAGTGTGTCGGTACCGCGGACAATCAATGGGAGGACTGCTCATTACGCGAGTTTAGTGAGTGTCTGTCTCCATTAAGCGCGTCACTGTGTGTTGCCAAGCCGGTCGAATGCACTTCAGCCGATCAATGTGAGCGCGAGTCTGGAACATGCTCCGATCAATTCTTCTTCACGCCAGAGGTCACGCAGTTCTACCCGCCACAATATGGCAAGTGTGTACATGGTCACACTATAATCATGCCATCACCCAACAAGACTATCTATTATCCAATCTCTGGCTGCGACCCCTACGAAGACCTCGAGTCCCAGATGGGCTGTTTCAGTGCCGAAGAGGTGATCAGCAAGGAGGAATGTCTGGCGCGTCCAGGCAGCCGTTGGTGGACACCGGCCAACGCGTCGACCTGCGAGACGATCAAAGGCTGTTCCATGAAACGAGAGATGACTCTCTTCCCCAACAATATATTGTTCAATGACATGGACGAGGAGACGTGCGGAGGATGTCCAATGTACCGCGAAGAATATAAATGGACCAACAGATTCACACTCAGGCGCGGCAAATGGATGCCCGGCATGATGGTGCCCGCGACTTGGATGAACACCACCGACGCAATGGTTCACCCGACCGCCAATCGACAGACCCTCATCTTGCGCGAAGTGTATAACTTCTTTCAGGACAACTATGACGAGTACACCAAGGTCGACGATGTGAAGCGTGGCACAGTGTGTAGGGCCACGCGTATTAGACAGACGCTCGAAGCGATAACCTGTAGCTGCTCGGGTCCGGGTGGCCCGCAGTGCTTCAAGTCTTCGTCGCAGACCATTGGCTCGACCAAGGTGTGCGAGCTGACCGAGTCCCGCTACGACTTCTCCTTTGGCTGGGTGGTGTTCTTCGAGGGCACCGTGGGCTACACGTGCCAGACCGTCGTCATGAGCCAGATCAATCGACAACTCTACAAGGCGCCGCCCCAAGAGTCGCTGACATCCAGTTTCTTCACGTACACCAAGCTGGACGACTACGCCATCCTCCGCGATCAGAAGCAGATGGGCGTAATACTCAGCGATGGCTTTGAGCTGCAGCTCGAGTCGCTCAGCCAGTACCATCTGTGTCTGCGCATCGAGAACGATTACGACCCGGACCGCTACCCCACCCTGGACTTTGGCGAGATGTCTAGCGACAACAATATCGAGGCGCTCAATATCAATACAAGCGTCGAGGTCAAGAACAACGCAAAGTACCTGTGTGGCATGATCCCGCACAAGGGCCTTGTGCGGTCGTACTTTGCGATCGCGCGCCAGGGCCAGCGCGCCTTCCTGGACATGACCACCAACGTCATTCTCTACTTCCTGGCCGTCATGTTTGGCATCGACGCGTTGTTTGGACTCGTGCAGCTCTACATCATTCTCTACAAGTTCAGTCTGAAGCGTCTGGAGCTGTCGCTGGTGCACTTGCTCATTCTCACCGTGACCGTGTTCGCCGCCGTGCGCTCGGTCTACTTCTTCATGGTGCCCACGGGCAAGCTGTACGCGTCGCCCGTCGCCGACTACAGCATGGTGGTGCTGCCCACGTTCATCTACTTCACGTCGTTCTCGATCATTGTCATCCTGTGGTTCGTGTTCATTCGCAATATGCGCGAGGGCACCAGTCGATCATTCTCGCGCAACTTCATTCTTCTGATGGTTGGCATCAACTTTGTGCTCTACTGCACGTTCATCACGATCGTCCTGGTGTTCAACTACTCGTCCGAGGCCAAGCTCAGCGACTGTGCCGGACGTGTGCCCGTCAACCTCGCGCTCATGTCCCAGAAGCGGGTGGTCCTGATCATCTACGCGAGCATCCAATCGTTCCTGTCCCTGGTGATTGGCGCGGCGTTCGTGGTGTTGGGTCGCACGATCTTCCTGATGCTGCGCGAGTTCTCCAAGGACCGCACACACGCCGAGCAGATCAAGTACATCCAGCATCAGAAGAAGATCTACACAATCACTCTACTATGCTCGGTTGGCTTCATACTGCATTGTGTGTTTGTGTTGGTGCTGGTGTTCATGAGCCGTCCAAGCATCATATTCAGTTTCATTGGATTGGTTATCACTGAGATCATTCCATCAACATGTATCCTGATCAACTACAATCAGATAGAGGTGGGTGATCTTCGCCAATCACTGGCCGAGTTCACAAAGATGATCCAAGAGTCCATTGCCAACGCCAACAATGATGCTACCACCTCCACTGGTTCCTCTGCCACGGCCACTTCCTCCTCGTCCGCTACCACGTCATCATCCTCATCCAATGTCTCTGAAGTCGAGATGAAGAACCTAATAAGGACACGAAATGACTAGTCCATTGTCCGGTCCAGTCCGTCCAAGCTGTCCAGACATCTCCCATACTCCCATCTTCATTGACAATGTAATGTTATAAAATTATATTATTTATTACAAAGTCGTGATCATTTACTTGGCCCCAACAGTGTTGGGTAGGTTCCATTCTTTGAACAGCTCATTTCGCGAGATTGGGGGGGTGAGTTGGACAAGCCTCATGGGGGACTCAACGAGCCTCGCTGTCTGTTTTTTGACTGGTCCTAGGAGTAAAACAGGACCTCAATCAATCAGTACATGTTCAGTTCAGAGGATATTGTCAGTACACTACAACTATTACTATAACTATTACTACTACTATTACTATTATTACGAGGAAAGAGGCTGAGGACCCAAAGTTGTTGATGTGATTGCCTTTCATTTCATCATCAACCATTATTCAATTACACTCTACTAGTGATGTCATTCAACTCAAGTAAGTAGAGAGTGAACCCTCGCCCCAACCCTCGCCCTAACCCTCACCCTCGCCCACTAGTTCTACAACAACAAATATCATTTTATACGATCATCATTATTATAGTTGGTGCGCTATGTTGTAATATTGATGTTCAAGCATATAATGTACAGTCGGCAACAGTTAGGACAAAGACTGTCAATTCATTGGGCGTAGACTTGAGCGTGGCGATGGTGGAGGTGTTGTTTGATCAAGAGTTATACACACTCGATTGGATCGGTTGTGCAAACTATACTTGTTCACCTCCACCAACTATCGACTGTACATGCGACTACACCGATCCCCTTCACTGTGGCCGTCCAGCATCCGGCCACCCCTCATGCGCGCCCTGTCCACAATCATATAACGTCACAGTGGCACAGGTTAGCGAGATTGGCATTCAATCAAACACTGTAATACAAGTGCCTTACTGTGACTACGCGAATGAACAATGGATAAAGATCGAGGCCAATCGAACTTATGAGTTCAACAACTTGACGTCACAGTCTATAGAGTTGAGGTACAAGGCACAGACAGCCTATTGCGAAGGTCTATCACTCAAGATGATCACAGAGGGTACACGTGGCAACATCACAATCAATCATCAACCGACTATAACAGGAGTATTTGGACAAGGTACCACCAAGTTGGAGCTATGTCCTACTCATGACATGGACAACTACATGTCATCATCATCATCACACAACAATCACCAACCAGACGACTGGTTGGACGATGGCCCAGACAACCCATCAATGTCACATCCACTATACTCTGTATATTGGACCAATGGAACATATATATTCTCAATCCAAACCGATTACATACCAACAACATCAATCAAATTCATACTTTACTCTGCTCCAGTATATCCTGAGCAAGACTCCTCCTCCCCATCACCAACTTCACAATCATGTGATAACACATTGTCCAACACTACCAATCATACATGTTTGAATGATGGACAACTGATACATGGTCATAACTTCCAATATTACACATTCACAGTTGACAGGCCGATGAATCTAACCATCGGATGTTCACATTATACCAACGTATTCGTTTCCGATGTCGATCCAATCCCATCCTACACCGTCCACACCTGGTTATCACATTGTAAGTTATGTACTGGTACCATTCCAATCAATCACACTAACATTCGATCAATGATAGCTGCATGGGGATACATGTCAATACCAGTTGGACCACATGAAGATGGACGACCAAAGGTGTTATATATATTAATGGATACTTTGTATCAGAACTATACATGCGCGATCAATAGTAGATCACCTCATTGGTTGGTTCCACTGATAGACCATCAGGACACTTCAACAAAGTATGCATCGTCCAAACAAAATGATCTATACTCCAGCGCACAGTTTATACTCAGTGGACACACCAATGATGATGAACGAGATATCCCCAACCTCATCGCACTGTTCCCAAGACAATACGCCAACCCATTGTGGCCTGTTCAATCGGACCTCTTTGACATCTCCCACACCCTCGGCCAATCATGGATGAAGGTGCACGGACTCTTTGACGAGTATGACAATGCACCAAAGAGGAGCAGCTTCCAGGCTGTGATTGCACTCAACTATTCAATCATTCATCGCGATCCTGTCATCACCAACAACATCTCTGTGTTTGACAATGCGTCAATCTGGTTCCAACCCGGTCGCCTATACTTTGGTGATGGCCAGCCCCTGTCTGGAATGATCCCTCTCACAATGGACACCTCACCAATCACTTGCGACTACAATCAATTCCAAGCACAATCAAAACTACTCGCAGAGATCAATGCCAAAGTGATCAAGTATAGTAGTTTCAATGAGATACTTCAGGCCAGGATGAATGTCGACATGATAATGGCGCGAGACACATGGCTGGCGTGCCAGCACCAAGCCAACAAGATGCTCAACCTCACCGACACTGTTGCCTACATCAACACAACCATGTATGAGTGTGATTTCGAGGGCCCAGGCTACGACCTCAATCCATGTTGTAACGTCTCGTTGCAATATATGCAATGTTGCCAGCCCCACCAGGTGACGATCACGTCTAAGCAACACATGATTGATCGACGTGCTGTTGAGTCATCGTGCTCGAGTCCCAAGTGCACCGAGTCAGTCCTGGAGGACTACTTCACGACATGGCTAGACCTCTACAATGGCAATTGTGACACATTCACTCAGAACGATGTCCCAACATCACTGTCATACATCCAGGTGATCGATGAGTGCAAGGCCGTGTACATCAATCCTACAAGATGCAACAACGACACACAATGTGAACGACTTGGACTAGGCCAGTGCGACCTTATCACACGGCAGTGCCTGCCATCAATAGAGTATCAGGACCGACAGTACCTCCAATGCCTGGCGAACGACATCTCACAATCAATCATCGAGTTTGTGTCGCATAAGTACTTTGGATGGTACAATGGCACTGCAAGCTTTGCCAACGCGCTCTACTCATTCATGGTGCGCCAGGACTGCAACACAGGCATTGGCACCGGCCTAGCCTACCGCACGTCATTGATCTACGACCTCCCCGACCTCAGCCCGACGGCGCAGTGCCTTCCGCCTCAGACTGCGTACGACCCATCATTCAGATACGTACACGATGCATGTTTGGACTTTAGTTATACAAGGAGTAGCGCTCTGTCATTGAATGCTGTTACATGTTCGCTGGCGACTATCTGCCCATGGACAGGCTGCAACACATTGTATGATCCAGATTGTGCCAATGAATGTGGAGTCAAGTCCGAGTTCTGTGGATACTGCTCACAATCAAATTCAACAAAGTGCATTGACTTTGATGGCCTTGGTACACCATGCGATCAGCTTGGACATGGACAGAGACAAGTATGTTTGTTGCCCAATGGACAATATCAGCTTGTTGAAAACGAGTTGGAATGTCAACAACTTGGACAATGTACCGAGCCATGTGGATATCAATGTACTGGATTCAAAGGATGCATCTCAATCAATGTCCACAACGAACCAGATTGTATCCAACTCGGTGATGGATACAAATGGGACAACATATCATCACTCTGTCTCAATGATCAATGTACCTCATCCAGCGCAACGACTCAATTTGAAGATTGTTCATCACGCGATTACGGTGAGTGTTACTCACCACTAGGCCCATCACTTTGTGTTGCCAAGCCAATTCAATGTAGAACGAAGGATCAATGTGAACAACACTCTGGTACATGCTCCGATCAGTTCTTCTTCACTCAAGACTATGTGCCATCGTATCCACCTCAGTTGGGCAAGTGTGTCACCAATCATTCACTGAACAAAGTTCGTCAACCTTACTATGTCCATGCATTTGGTGCGTGTGATGTGGAGTCCGAGTATGATTCACCAATGGGCTGCTTCAAGATCCAACCAGTGGCACTCAGCAAGAATGAATGCATTTCGCAACCTGGCCAAGCATGGTGGACACCCTCAACAGCATCAACATGCGAGTCATTCTTTGGATGTAGATTCAATTTCCGTGATCGAGTTGGATATGCATTGTTCCAGAATGAGGACAAGTATACAGAGATGGATGAGAGTACCTGTGGTGGATGCTCCGAGGACACATACAGCTACAAGTGGCAACAAAAGTTCAAACTCAGACGTGGACAATGGATGAATGGTGTGATTGTGCAACCAAGAAAGATCCAAACATCATTGAGACAGGCAGCCACAATCAGTCCAACATTGATCCTGAACGATGTCTACAACCTCCTTCTTCCAAGCATCGAGGAGTACTTCCACGTCGACTTTCTCAAACGAAGTACAATGTGTCGCGTATCCCGTTTGATTGAAAGTTTGGACTCGATAACTTGTTCATGTTCCGGGCCACTTGATGCGCATGGACAATGCTTCAACTCATCAGCACAAACAATTGGAACGAGCAAGCCATGTGAGAATGAGGCGTCTTCATTCGCCATGTCATATGGATGGATCAATTTCACCAAACAATCAGTGAACTATGCATGCCAAGATGTTTGTTGTTGGACAGATCAGTCGACAATTGTTCAAGGTGCCACCGATAGAGACACTCACATCCAGCTTCTTCTCATACCAATCATTGGAGGACTTCTCAATCTACCTTGATGGCCATGTTGTTGGTGTCATACTAAGTGATGGCGTCCAAGTCGAGACACAAAGTATTAACTCATACTTGATATGTCTTCAACTGCAACAAACAGATGTGAAGTTCATCAGGCTTGACTTTGGCTTACAATCAGGTGATCAATCAAATCAAAGAGTTGTTCCACAAGGTGTGGACGTTTCAATATTGATCAAGAGTGATGGTCAACAGTACTTGTGTGGCACGGTACACCCCAGAGAAGTAACCAGCACCTACTTTGCATTGGCCATTACAGGTGATAGTAAGACACCTTCCATCGATCGTACCACCAACATCATCATGTATGTGTTGGCATGCCTGTTTATGTGTGGCGCACTCTTTGGCGCGGCTCAGCTAGGTGCCATCCTGCTCAAGTTCACATTCGCACGACTCCAGCTCTCATTGGCGCATCTCCTCATTCTCACCGTGACAGTGTTCACATCGGTGCGATCGATCTACTTCTTCCTTGTGCCCAACAGCAAGCTGATTGGCTCGCCATTGGTGGACTACAGCATGGTGGTGTTGCCAACATTCATCTACTTCACATCATTCTCGATCATTGTTGTTCTATGGTTCATGTTCATCAAGAACATGCGTGATGGCGCCACTCGATCATTCTCAAAGACATTCATACTGTTGATGATTGGTATCAATCTGGTGTTGTACTGCATCTTTGTTGTGATCATCTTGTTGTTCAACTATTCGTCATCGATCAAACTCAGTGATTGTGGCGGACGAGTACCAATCGATCTGTCACTCTGGTCACAAAAGAGGATTGTCTCAATCACTTATGCGAGCATTCAATCATTCCTGTCACTTGCCATTGGAACAGCATTCGTGGTGTTGGGCCGCACAATCTTCATCATGTTGCGAGAGTTCTCCAAGGACAGGACACAGGACGAGCAGGTCAAGTACATCCAGCATCAGAAGAAGATATACACAATTACAGTATTATGTTCAGTTGGATTCATATTGCATTGTGTATTTGTGTTGGTGTTGGTATTCATGAGTCGACCAAGCATTGTATTCAGTTTCATTGGATTGTTGTTGACAGAAGTCATCCCAACAACATGTATCCTGTTCAATTACAATCAGATACAGTATGGTCAATTACATGAAGCATGGATCACATGTCTAATGACTATCAGATCAATCTCGTCGTCATCAATGGACTCGACCACCACAGGACCATCATCGACCACGCTGTCATCGTCATCTGATATCTCATCCACGTCCACCACCTCGACCTCCTCTGACGTTGAACTACGGACCCTTCTCAAGCACTAGTCAATACTTCATTCAACTTTATATGTAAATAAAAGACACTGACAATCTTAAGATGATCTGTGTGACTAGCTAGCTAAATTAAATTGGATGTCCCGTGTGTCTTATTGTGCATCATTGATTGAATGATTGAATACAAATTGATTGGTCTTCATGAATTCTCAATATATGACTCATTTCTTATTATCTCTTATCTGTACATACTATCATTATCTCTCCTACTTTATCTCTGTTCATTATTATTACTTCAAATTATTCATTCGTCTCTACATGTCTCTTACTGGTTCCAATTTTGATGAGCTCAGTATCTTTCGTCTGTATAGTATCAGATATATTAAGTAATTGTGTCTGACATTACATTCTATATATATGGACGCAATGTCTTACATACACGCGAATTCCATTATAGGATCACCTGGTGACCTTGTTCGTAAGTATATATGAGTGATATATTTGTTTCAACACTAACCATTGATGAATTCAACTGACAAAGTTCATCGACATCTCCATATAAAAAAAAAAAGAGATATTAAAAATCAAAAGGTCGCTCCTGGTTGGGATCGAACCAACGACCGTTCGGTTAACAGCCGAACGCTCTGCCGACTGAGCCACAGAAGCAGTTGAAAAAAACTAATTGTTGGTCATGTTTTATGCGATTATTTTTGATTTTTTTTATTGGAGATGAAACTGAATGGAGTTCATGAACACTTTTATTTTTTTGGAGTTGTTGTGATGGCATCCTCTTCAATTAGTACCTTGATTTTACCTGATGGGTAAATGACAGATGCGTTTAGTATCCTCCAAGTGTCATCGTTGGCATAGATCACAGCATATAGACTGGCAGTCTTGGAAGGATCTTTGCTGCCTCTGATCGGGATGGCCACTTCCGAAGTGACCTCACAGTAAGGGAAAGAAATGAAAGACTTTGGTTGTGGAACCAGTACAGGCTTTGTTTCACTATCACCACTGTTGTTGTTGTTGTTGCTATTGCCCTGATTGAGCTGAGAGAGTGGCTTGAGGAACCAACCTTGGATGTCCTTGGTGGGCTTTGGCAAGAAAATACCAACAAACACCTCGCGTGACAATTGAGTGATTGGGGATGTTGAGCCAACTGGTGGTGGTCCCATGGTCACTGGTGAGCCAAGCTCTCTGATCACATCTTGGTTGTTTACAGCCTGTGTGTAAGTGAGCTAGTGAGTAAGCTGATCGAATAGTTGCTGCTCAATCAAGTATCAGTCAAACATTACCATCTCATAGACATGCTGAAGCACCTCGTTCCAAGAGTCGGACAAGAACTTTTCTTTGGGTTGTGATCCCTTCTTGTAGGCAATGAGAGATGTGACTGTGTCAAAGCTGATCTTGCCAACCAGCAGCAAGGCAATCAGTCGAAGGAATATTTGTAACTTATTTTGTTGCTTCTTTGGATATTGTATCTTAACCTTTAATTGTTGATCTGATATTGAATGTTGTGAATATTGTCTATGTTGTTGTTGTTGTTGCTGTTGTGTTGATTGATTCTGAATGGTAGTAATTGAACTACTCCTCATCATCAACATCATTGATCTTTGTAATGTAGAGTATTGGAGTGCTGAACGAGTCAACAAAGTTGATGATGATGGAGTCATCATTGAATTAATCGAGTTAAACAATTGGTTTCCTCGAGGAATACCTGAATTGATCAGTTTGCTAAACATCTTGAATGACTGTTGTATATATATATGTTATATTATGTCTTTGTAGTTTTGAAAGAATTGAAGATCAAACAAGTCGTTGACACAAGTGACTCGTCACCCACGACACTAATCTTTGCAATTTTCTTTGTTTCACTCAAATTCATTCGCTCATTCATTCAATCAATCATTGATTCTGTAACAATACTGAACATATATATACATTTATTATAAGTCATAATATATATATACGTACACCGTCATAATAGACTAACAAAGATATAGCCATGTTCGACTTTGCAATCATTCCCATCACAATGATCATGATGGGTTGTTGCGCGAATGTCGTCTCACTCGAAGCCATCATCAAGTATGTATATAATGATACATCGACTAATAACAGCAATGATCTAACAAACAAACGAACGAATGAACGAATGATATAGAGCTGATGCAACACAGAGCCAGATGGTGACATTCTCTCAGTTTGTCTTTGTAGCGTTTATGGCATTCTTGACGAATATACAATGGAGTAGAGTGAAGCCACTGCCTCTGTACGTGCCAACGGGATTCTTAAAGCGAAAGATACCATTGCGCATTTATGGACTCATGGTGTCCATCTTCTTTGTACTGTGCATCCTGAACAATTGGGCGCTGTCGTTCAACATCTCCCTACCATTTCACATGATATTTAGATCCAGCTCACTGCTGGCTACTGTCGTAATCAGCGCTATCTTTTACAAACGAAAGTTCACATTCAAACAGATCGTCTCATTGATCATGGTCACTGTTGGTATAACAATGGCAACATTTGGTTCAACTCCTGATCATGTATGATTCCAGTCCAATCATTCAATCAAACGTTCGATCATTCATGTCACTGACAACTCACTACCCTTCATTCAATCATTCATACATTGTAGAAGAAGGCAATTAACATTGGAGAAGATAGTGCATCTATTGTATCATTCATCATTGGTATTACCATGCTCACTGTTGCCATGTTCCTCTCGTCCATTCTTGGTCTGATACAAGAGACATCATATGCCAACTATGGCAAGGACTGTCATAGAGAGACCATATTCTATTCAGTAAGATTATGAATTGATTGAATGATTGACCGCCAGACTAACATAACCGATCTTACAACTATATAGCACTTCTTGGCACTTCCATTCTTTGCTTTGTTCACCAAGGACTTGACAAAGAACATCTTGGCGAATAATAACTCACCGGCTATTGGAGGTGATATACCCTTCATTCAGGACATTCCATCGCTTTGGTTCTATCTGTTGGTCAACGTGGTCACGCAGTACATTTGTATTCAGGGCGTGTTCATCCTGACGGGAAAGACCAGTACGCTCACATGCACATTGGTGATCAGTTTGCGAAAGTTCATCAGTATCATCATATCTGTGCTCTACTTCCAGAATCCTTTCACTCCAATGCTCTGGGTGGCCACCGTACTCGTGTTGGTTGGCACATTCATCTACAGCGATCCATTCAAAGCCAAGGACAAGGCACCTCCATCACCTCCACCTCCCCAAGCGATCAAAGAGAAGGAGAAAGAGAAGATTAAGAAGCAGCAGTAAAAGTAGTATTTATATACATATACAATGACTTAGTCTAGTCGTCTGGAACGATCATCTTGGTTAAAGCAATCTCGTAATAATCATCATAGTCGTATTCCTTGTCCTCGTCATCAATGTCGTCCATGCCGGATTCGCTGACGATGGCGCCATACTTGTCAAAGCTACCTCCATCCACTCCCATGTGTCGTCGTCCGTCCTTTGTACCACTACTACTAATACTGGGCGAGTCATCGCCAACTTGTCTACTCATTAGAGTTGAGAACTCATTGTCCAGGTCTTCTTGAGCCTGGGGCGAGCCATAGTGTCCGCGAGTGATGAGGAACAGTTTGTGATTGAGGAAGTCACGGATGGAGTGACGGTAATGTAGGTAGATGTTGACGACCAGGTGAACTGAGAAGATGACCACACTGGCAATGATGATCCAGTCCTCGACGGCAGACTCGAGGTCGTTGTCCAGGTACAGACAACAGATGAACAGAAGACTGAGTGAGACAAGCTCAATACGGTTCTCCTCGCGACGTTTGTAAGGCTGGCACTGTATCTGCATGACGACATTGATCAGCGAGACGGTCACCAACAGCAGTGCACGAAGTGGGTTGGTGATATCCATGATGGACATCAACACAATGAGTAGTCTTCGCACCAACAGTATCACATCCCAATAGTAGTACTGAGTCTTGTACTTGAGAAATGAACACTCCGTACACCTTGATGGTGGACGGCTCCTTCTGGCGATGTCTGTTCATGAACAGCAGAATGAACAGCACTAGCGGCATGCCCAGCACGACCGTCAGCATCGCGTAACTGACTTTGAGTGCTACGCCGTATGCCGTGCCTGAGCACTGAACAGAGATGTTGTTCACTAACACTTCGGAGCCAATGCCAATGAGAGTGCAGAAGAACATTGAGAAGACTGATGTCGCCACGGGCGAGTAAACAAACAGCCATATCTTGATCAGTGCGCTGGCGAATGAATGTTGCATCTTTAGCTGTCCACTCTCCATCTGTGTGATCATTGTTATGTTGTTGTAGTTGTTACTGATGCTGCTGCGTACGTAGTGCTTGTAGAATGATCGCATCAATGTGATGATACCAAGTATCGCGATCAATATCGGTGTGATCAGTAGTGTCAGGTAGTGTCGCTTGTAGAATGATAGTGGACCGGGACAGATTGATCCGATGACTGAGGAGCCGCCACTGTCCAGACGGAAGTTGAGCAATGCCAGTATGCTAAAGTTGACGCCATTGGACAGCACCATGATGGTTTGGAAGAAGTAGACGACAATGTTCATCACGCCTGAAGCCGTGTCAGAGGTGTGCGTCCACAGCACAATCACAACCATGGCAATGAAGAAGATGATGGCGATTGGAACACTGATATGGTCGCAATGCACACAGTTGCCCATCCATTGATAATAGTTTTCGGTCTCATTGCAGCTGCTACACTGCAGACCGAAGGTATGTGATTGGCATGTGTTGTTGCCAAGGCAACGACTTGAGCTGTGGCACTTGTAGACAACGCGTGGATACTCATTCTCGTCGTACCAGTAGCCTGGTCGAGCATCGACCTGCGTTCCACCGGCGCAATATGAGTTGTCTGGACATGGCAAGCATGTCTGGCCATTGTATCCGTATGAGCCTAGCGGGCATTGGCTGCACAGTGTCCCTGAGGCGGTAGGTTGTTGGCCCGGGAAGCAAGCCATGATGGTGGGCAAAGGCGGCCATTTCGACAGGGATGATTGAACGGTCGTTGCATAGGAAGGTGATCGAGGCGGTATTGTTTACCTTGCCAATGAGCTGCACGTTTGTGAAGTTGGCGTATCCATTGACGACGGGCATCATGCTAATGGTCACCTCGTTGAGTCGCAGGTAGACCAACTTGTTCAAGCTGACAGAGATTGGCACGGTCTGATTGAACAGGTCAATCACCGTGACATAGCCAGTGAATGTGGTCACGTTGGAGATGATCACCAAGGGGAACTGACTCTCATCGAATTGCAGCTTGACTGGATTCGAAGCCATAATCAAACCGTATGGTGCCGTATTGTTGGTGAATATACACTCGACAATGGTGATCATTTGCGACACGTAGGTAGGTCCAAACACTATGATGATTGCTCCTCCATCTTCCGCTTGATTAGATTCGAATGTACTACCACGTAATGCTACAATTCCCGATGATGTCATTGATATTACACCTCCACTATAAGCAGTATTGTCTAAGGGGTTGAAGGTTGAGGGTTAGGCGAGGGCAAGGGCGAGGGTAAGGTGGGACCATAGATGGTACATACTATAGAAGTATGAGTGATCGATGTTGACTTGACTGTAGTCTGAGAGTGTGAAGACGGCGCCACGTGATCCATAGTTGGAGATGAAGGTTGAGTTGACAACATTGCACCAGGCAGATGAATCGATCATGATGAGTTGCTCCGCTTTGTTGTCGATGATTGTACTGTTGTTGATATTCACCTGGCCGCCCTGCTCGGTGTCGATCATCGTGTTGTAGTTATTGGATATCGTTGAACCGTGAAGGAAGAGCGTCGAGTCACTACTGACCACGACGAACGTTTGTGTGTTATTGGTGATGGTCGAGTTGATGATGTAGACATCATTGAAGCGGATGAGCATTGTGCCCCGCTGGCTTTCAAACCTAGATCCTGTGATCACACTGTTGCTCGATGAGAGCAGGAATGTGTAGGACGGTGAGTTGAAGTTGTTGTAGAATATACTGTCGGCAAGGTAGACATATGTTTGTGAAGAATAGACCACGCTGCCGGTGGTGTCGCGCACCTCACTGTCAAGAATGGTCAGCTCGCCCAAGAATGTGGAGACGATCATCAGCATCTGAACGTTGAAGATCTGCGTGTTGTTGATGGTGAGTGTCGACTCGGATGATTGGATCAGCGAGGCGTCCAGTAGCTTGCTATTCAGGTCACTGATGATGCTGTTGCGGATGGTCACGATCGAGCTCTCGGTGATGAACAGGCCGATGCCCTGGAGGTCTTGCACATTGGTGATGTTGACATTGTCTATATCTACCGTGGACGATTGTGTGATGTACATGATTCCAAACTCGCCCAGGTAGTTGGTATTGTTGTTGAACACTGAGTCTGAGATCCAGGCCTGCGAGTGAGTGATGCACAGTGCACCATTGCGATGATTCAGGAATGATGAGGTCGTGATGTAGACGTCTGTCACCGATGACAACGAGGTCACACACTCTCCATCGTTGTTGGAGCTCTGGCCGCCATCAAACAAGCTTCCAGTGATGCTCACCGAGGTGGCGCGATCCACATATAGTGCGAACTCGTTTCGCGTTAACGTGGTATCGGTGATGTGTAGTCTTGCCGGCACAGTGAGTGCATTGAAGCTGAGCACATTGACAGCCGGGCCGAATGAAGATGTGACCGATTGTGAACAGTTGGTGATCGTGCAATCGTTGAGATATAGGTCCACGTTTCCACTGGCCGTCACAACACCCTTGTTGGCGTAGTCTCGACTGTTGATGACCAACACATTGCTCATGACCACCGTGCTGACCGATCCCTCGAGCAGCAGAGCCGCACCACCATTGACCATTGCGCTCGAGTAGGCATTGGTGATGGTCACGTTGGCGATGTTCACCTGAATGATGCCACCGGCCACGTGGAACGCCTGTAGTCTGTCCTGGCCATTGATGATGGTGCCGTCGCGTGAGGTGCCAATGATCGACACGGACTTTGTGATTGAGTACCAGAATGTGAAGCCGCAGTACACACCGTCCGCGAGGAAGATGTTGTACGTTGGCATGATACGATACAGGGCCATTGAGAGTGAGGAGAATGGCGAGTTGGCAGATCCATCGCCATTGCGGTCTGATCCCTTGACCAAGTCCACATAGATATCGGATGAAATATATGATGGGTAGTTTGGCAGGACTGTCACGCCCGACAAGAAGAAGCCTTGGAAGTCATCGTTGCCCAATGACCTGGGCGACGAGTAGTCAAAGTCGCCAAAGTCGTTGACACTTCGGGTCGAGGTGAACTTGATCTTATTGGTGGGCGAGCTGAAGTTGAGGTAGTAGGAGATGTCTATGTGGTAGTCGATGATGTTTAGCGTGTTGGAGAGCACCATGACGTTTATGTCGTTGATGCTGACGCGGAAGGAGACGGACGACGACTTGATCTGGAAGGAGTTGGACGAGCACGAGAAGTCGAGAAACATTGACATGTTGTTGGTGAATGGACGCACGTCAAAGTCCTGCTCCAAGGTGATCGAGCCCACTGTGCTACCTTCAAAGTATGCATAGAAGAAGCCTTCCAATGGTTTATATATCTGTCCACACATATCATCATCACAATATATTACTGAACGACCATTAGTCGATGTATTTCTCCATGGTGATGGCAGTTGATTTCCAACATTATAGAATCCCCAATCTCCAATGATAGGTTGTTCTGTCTCTGTTTATATATATATATTATTATTATTTGTTTGATTGAATGAGTGTGATTGAATGAATGAGTGAATGAGTGTGCGAGTGAGTATGAATGAGTGAGCGAGCGAATGAATGAATGATGATGCAAGTAACATACCTGTACATTGTGGTTGTGCACTTATAGTATTGATTGATATTAATACTATCAATAATAATATTAACAAAGAAGTAGTATTTACATTCATATTATGTATATGTATCATACAAATACAAAACAATAAACAATTGTCGTATCTGCAACAACAACAACAACAATGTTAAGTAATACTTAAGGACCCTTCCTTCGGCTCAACAATCAATCATACGACCCATCTTATGATCAAAGTGTGGTAGTCTACACATGGTTGGCCCAAACTAAAATCATGATATTTGGTGATTTTTGATCATACTTGGATTGTCGAGAAAAGTTTTGGTAACATGACCTTCAACATTGTTTATGGAAATTAATATTATAATATTTATTATCCTTCTATATTAATGCCCTCCGGGGAACATTAACATTTTTAATCAGGTTGGAGTAAGTAGTGTACTATTGATACATGTAGATGTTGTTGTTATTGTTCCAATATTATTTTTACATAATAGTACAATCCCTGGGACCTTGTTCTGGACCTGGTCCAATACTTGATGCAGTGGTACATGAACCATTGGCAACTACGGGGGCGGAAGTAGTCTTTATGGTCTCCGCTGTAACATTTGATGGATGTGACACACCCTCACCCAAACGTTTAAATGATCCTAAAATATATTATAATTATTAATATTAATATTAGTAATAATAATAATTAAAGATTAAGGATTACGGTACTTACCAAGAATAGTCATGGTTTAGATATATGTTAAGATTGTTGGATTGATTGATTGATTGATTGATTGATTGATTGATCAAGGTTGATTAATTTGAAATGATTGGAGTTGAATCAATGACTTAAATATGTTGTGCCCTTGACTAGATGGTTGAAGGAAGGAAGTAAGGAAGGGTGCGGGTCTTTCAGTCTAGTCCGCACCAATTAGGTTGGTGGACACACATGTCCCAATCCAAACAACACACATCATCAAAGGGTACAAGGTAGGCAGATGTTGTTGTTGTTGTTAATTGATTGATTGATTGAATGAATCAGTGATTGAATGAATTGATTGATTGATTGATTGGATCAGCTGTGTGTGAGTGAGTTGATGAGTGTTAATGTGTCCAACGGATCTCTAAATATAACTCTCTACTACACATCCCACCCAATCATTCATACAATCACTCATACAATCACTCATACAATCATTTACTAATATGGACACTACCTATTATTGCCAAAGACAGATGACATGCTTACACCATTACATCTATTAGTGTGTGAGTGTGCGTGTGTTAGGGTAAGGTGGGACAATGATTTAGCCGTCAACACCACATCCACCTCATCATCATGGTAAAGATCAACGTGAATCAGTGTTGGTGTGAGTGAGAGTGTGAGTGATACTCACTCAGAGGGTGGATCTTCGGGATGATGGTTACTGTGACATTGACCTTATATCGAGCAAATCTGATGGTGATGTAGACGACAGTCTGTCGTCAAAGGGTAGATCCGTATCACACCACACATAGTGGCTATTGGTATGTGAACGATCTCTCATTATCACCCCCAACCTTCAATGATAGACTGTCAATCAGTCAGTCAGTCAGTCAGTCAGTCAGTCAGTCTGATTATCAATCAATCCATCACTACTCTATCAATCAATAATAATGATATGACCTTGACTTACTTAAAGTGGTAAAATGAATCCATTACCCTTGTATCGCTCATGATCGATACTACTACTAGACTGACTGTCTGTGAACAACAAACACACACGTCAATGATCAATGGTTGGCGTGCCTACCAACCTACCTTCTGACTCCATCGCACACAATGGATTCGATTCAGTGTCAATCACGCAACCAAACACTCACTCCCACCCCCCAATCGCACAATGATGGTCACCAACAATGCGAGTGTACAACATTCATTCTTGGTGACCCATGACATGTCATTGATTAGAACCCTAAATACAATTAATTGTAAGTTTCTAATTATAATACACAAACATTATTACATATTTGTTTCACTTACACTTACTTCATCCCATCAACCAAACAAACATTCAATATTATTATTAATCATGATGTAGAATGTAGGTGACACACAAACAACTTAAATCGATCGATCCGCCAACAACAATACTATAGTACTCGTACCAAAGGTATCGTATCATTCATTTCCAAATGAGTGTGTGAAGTGATCGATCACTTAATACCGGTATGGCGATCCACCAAGCAAAGCCCAACCATTCAGCCACTGGATTGATTGATTGATAAGGGGATGGATTATGAGTTTATGTCTGGAATGATGTGTCTATCACTATCTCACAATCATGTTGATATCAACATCACAACATAGTGTGATTGATTGATGGATCAAACACTCTATCTCTTCTCACCTTTAGCTAAAGAGCGTGAATTAGAATGAAATTCCAGTGACTTCTGGTAACTCTGTTGGATTCATTTTTTGAAACTGGAATTATTCTCAGTTCTGCCTGTTTTGCTGGATATGCCTGGATCGCTGGAAATTTGAAAATCGAACATGTTATAAAGCATATTCAGAAGGTGAAGTATAATGTCATCGATAAGATAAACACAAACAAATATATCTAATACCAAAACATCAATCCAATTCAATTAATTAATTTAATCAAACAATCAATCAAAAAAAATGAATCAAGTTATTGTCGAATGCATTAATGAAGCCTTTATCAACTTCAATGATCAACTGGACAATGATACTGTATCATATATGAGTGGTCTCATTCAAGAATCTGAATCAATCGATGAGCTCCGTGAGCAGATTGATATTGTCATCAAGGACTTTGCACTGGACTTTGAACAGGATCGCAAGCCAATCGAGAAGCTGATCAGTCTGCTAAAGAAGAAGGCCGCCGTCGACTACTCGCTGGTGGAGGAGCGCCCCAAGTCGCACCTGGTCTGTGAGGTCGACCCCGAGGCAGAGCCGAGTCTCGACGACCCGAACCTCACCATGGATGGCTACCTACAATTAACTAGGTCTAAGAACCCAATTACCCGTCGCATGGTGCTGCGCACGATGTGCCCATGCAAGGTCAAGGCCGACGTCGACCTGCTCTGGGCCCGCATCATGGAGATGGCGCACGACGAGGATCCAAAGGTGCGCTACCAGGTCATGCACAACTTATGCGATGGATCCCCGCTCTGGCGCGAGGAGTCCGTCATCCAGACTCTGGAGGGAATGCACAACGACCAAGATCCAAAGATCCGTCGTCGTATCCACAACATTCTCACTCACTACAAGCACACTGGCAAGTGGAACATCATGTAAATGTTCCTGTCATTGTGCACTTGAAGACTGTTACCCAGCCCGCTGTTGCTGTTGCTGCTGCTGCTGCCACGTCTTGTGGCTGTCAGTTGTCTCCTGGTCCACGTCTATGTGGACGGGTCGTGTTGTCCAAAGACACCCTCGCTCCACGAGGGCGTCCGAGGACAGCTACTTGCAAAGGTACACTGGTTGGGCAACCTCTCCAACTGCATCTAGGATGAGGACAACGTCTACTTTGAAGAAGGCGTTCATCTGGCTTTGGAGATGGAGGTGGAAGATAAGATTGCGGAGTGTGTCTCCTGACTGAATACAACATAGTCAGCACTACTGGGACAGGCAAGCATGGAAGTTGGACATCATGCAACCCTGTTCCTCCAATCTTATCTTTATTATATGTACATATATCAAATATATAGCCTATGCTTTATTATTATAATGTAATATTGGAATAAAGATCACCATTTGTTCAACCAATCACTGAATAAGATATAGTCTATTGTTGAGGTGGAGTAGGTTCCAGTATCCTTATGAGTAGGTCTAATAAGTCACTACGTGTACATATACCAACTAGTTTACCAGAATTGTCAACAACAGGTAGACCTCCAATATCGGCCACTCTAAGTAGTTTTGCAGCGTCCACTATTGGTGCATTCTCTTCAATTGTCAATGGATTACTCTTCATCACCATCTCCACCTTATGCATTGACAACTTATGTACTCTCTCCTCATTTGACTCTGGCAAGAATGGACTATCACAAGCCAATCTCAAGTCCCTATCTGTTATCATACCCTTTAAGTTTCCTGTTTCAATCATACCAGTTAGCCAAGTTGTTGTTTTGTAATATTAATTGAATGATACATACCAGACTCGTCAACTACTGGCAGACGATGGATTGCATGAGTGTTTAATGCTTTTAATGCTGTATCCAAGGTTGATCCTACACATACACTGTGCACCTGATCAGACATCAAATGCTTTACTAATACGTTCATACTTGTAAGTGTATTCTTTCTCATTGAATATTAGTTAAAATATTCTAATATTATATATAATCTTTGTTGACTTCAAAGTTGAAGAAGATGAATGCACATTGGGACTTCAAGTACTTGTATCATGTTGTGTCCATGTTGTATCCTGTCCTGTCATGTTGTGTTGTGTTTGTTTGTTCAGCACCCCACATGTCATTCATTGTTGTGTGTTCAAGATTTCCTTATTAGGTTGAGTGGTGGTAAATGAGAGCAATCTGGAAGTTCATTTCCTATTTAGTCACATCGAACAATGATCAAGATATATATATTATACTTATGATATATATCAATAAATATTAAGTATTGTAATGATTGTAAGAATAGTGTTTTCTCATTTATTGACAACTTCACCGAAAATTCAATTTATTTGTTGATCCACCACCAGTATCAAACAATTAAATGATCAAAAGTTAAAGGGGGCGTTCTTCATTTTTACTTTGTACACATAAATAAGAAATAGATAGATAGATATACAGATACAGATATAGTATAAGATGGATAATGATGAAAAGGTCTTACTATTCTTCTCATTAACAAACTCATCAGATCCTGAAGAGGCTTTGTTATTGTTAGAGGTATGTTTGATCACCAATCAATCAATCAATCAATCAATAATGATCTAACATAATAATAATAATATGATGAATAGCAAAATGGATGGGACCTGGATGCGAGTGTAAATCATTACTTTGCGATACATGATACAGGCAATGATAGTGATAACTCAACCAGTGGTCATTCGAGGAAGGATAGTGGAGGTGGCAGTGGAAGTAGTAGCAGCACTAATACAGGTGGGATGATGGATCATGGTTATGACGAAGAGAATGTTCGAGCACCAATCCCTGCCATGCTTGACACAATGATCGACCCCTCACAGATTGCCAACTACATACCAGGCATACCCATCAACAGAGTGCGAGGTCCCAATGGAAACAATGTATTCGAAGCATTCAGAGACTTTACCTCAGAGGGCAAGATTGGACGTATGTGTGATGCAAGGCTGGCTGGCGTGCTGGGCCGATCGCAGCTCACTAACCTCCCCTCCCCTCCACCTCTAGCCCTGCCCAACACAATGAAACAGACACCTAAACAACAGGCATTGGCTAAGCTGTATGAACCACCTTATGATGTACTGTCGTTTGGTACTTTTGCGCAGGTCAAGCAACTGGCCGAACAGGCAAAGTTGTACCTACTGGTGAATATACAGGATGTGACCAACTTTGACTGTCAGATATTGAACAGAGACACATGGTCGGACAAAGGACTCAAGTCCTACATCAAGGATCACTTCATCTTCTGGCAGGTCAATCACAACAATCCCGAGGGTGATATGTACTGCACTCTGTATCCAGTCACCTCTTATCCTCACGTCTCCATCATTGACCCTACAACTGGAATGAAGAAGGATATGCATGAAGGTTACTTCAACTCTGACGATGCTTATAAGTTCCGTAAAGTGTCATCCGTCTATCATATCGCGTCAATCTCGCGCGCGTCGACCCTAACACCTACCCTCTCTATTCTAGTGCAACACTTTATTATCTCACAACAGGGACACAGCCAACCGGAGTCGAATAAGAAGGCAAGGAAGTATACATCAGAGGAGGAGGAGTTGGAGATGGCCATCCAACTATCACTCGCTGGTGCAAACAATGGTTCAACATCATCAGCAACATCATCAACAACAACTGCAGGCAATCAACAACAAAAGTCAACCTCATCATCATCAAAAACAAAGACAAAGGATAATGAAGATGATGATGATGACGAAGATGATGACGACGACATTGATGAAGATGATGAGGACGAAGATGATGAACCACTGGAAGACGACGATGATATGGCATTGGAGGCCTACGAGAAGAAGCCCGTCGAGTTGCCCAAGACCACAATCCCAGACACAATTGGAACAGTTGGCGATTGTATCATTCAGGTATGCTTGACCCTCCCAATCAATGAATCAATCAGTCAATCAATTAACACTCCTACTTACTCATCATGTAGATCCGTCTACCTGGCGGCGACGTGCTCAAGGGCAACTTCAACGCAAGTGACAAGATACAGAACATTTACTACTTTGTCACACTGAAGAAAGGCATCAACAACTTTGTACTATTCACGCCCTTTCCAAAGAAGGAGTTGGTAGGCGACGTGCTTGGACGCACTCTACAAGAGGAGGATCTTGCGCCTCGAGCCATACTCAACCTGCAGGAGAAATGATAATGATGATGATGTTGCCAATCATACATTCATTATCATTAAAGCAAGTAAACTCACACATTGATTGATTGATTGATTGCTACACACACTCTTACTTCTACTCTTAATCTAACTCTAACTCTAACTCTCTCTAACTCTCATGCTATAACGTGGTAGCATGACATACTCTCCTCACTATGCTTTGCTATTCCTCCACCCCATCTCATCAATGGATGGGGATTAAACCAATGTCGTGTATGTATGAAGGTGTGTTGGTCACCTGCCCTTTGCGGAAGGGCCAACGGGTGCTGGGGGTGTGGGTTAGAGCCTTTGTTGGGCGTTTGATTTAGAGTATGAGCTGGAATGAACCCATTCAAATGTACCAATTTCAGACTGCATGATGTGTGTATGTGTAGTAGGGTGGTGGGGTTGAGGGTAAGGACCCAAAGTTCTCGTGCACTCACACAATCAATCATCATTGTTCCAATGTGAGTTGAATGACTTACACTCATGAGTGCTATTGATCATAATCAATCAAATATATATACAATATAATATATATTTCCTTTTATAAGAGAGATTGTTTTTACTTTATTTATAACTTGTCACTCTTTACTCACTCAATCACTCTGTGATCAATAAATCAATCAATCAATCTATCAATAACACACACACAAGGGATCAACTGATGATGTCATTCTCCCCACCAACCTCTGGGGGAGGAGCTCCTGACAATATTGAATCTCCATCAAGTGATGATGATGATACCATAAATAACAATACTAGTATCACATCTACAACAACAACAACAACCAACATTAACAATAACATCAATAGCAACAATAACAACAATAACAACAATAATAACAAAAAGAACAAGAACGTACAACAACAACAACAACAACAATCTATTACATCTACATCGACTACAAATACAAAGTCACCTACTTCGCGCACACCTCGCAACAATTCGCATCACCCACCACCAGAGGCATTCGAATCGTCGCCGTCTGTTGGTGAGATTGGCTGCTCAAAGAGCAAACTAAAGTGTGGCGTCTGTTCATCTGGTGCACCAAAGTGTATAGGAATCAAGTCCTCATGGTATGTTCATTCATTCATTCGTTCGTTCATAACCTTGCCCTAACCTTAACATAACCTTTAAACAGGGCAACTATATTATGGGTCGTATTCTATTCATTGAAGGAGCAGAGGAAGAACCAAGAGTTCTTCTCATTGAAGAGAGATGTATATATATATATGAGCAATCATTGGGACTCTTTGTGTCCCTCAAGGAGTAGATCCAATCGCTGGAAGAAACAGATACAGGTAAGGGCGGAGAGAGGGAGAAGGATGGATGGAAGATGTCTGCGCGCACAAACTAACATTGATGACCGATCAATAGGATGCATTATCACACTCCAAGGTGTTCAAGTCTGGCATACAGAAGCTTGGCTGCAATGGATACTGGAAGCTAAAGGCGTACACTAATCCATGGACAACATCTCGGCCTGACGAGTTGGATGATGTAGACACAATGGCAATGGAGGCAAGCGATGAAGCTGACTCTGACACACAACAGAAGACACAACCTCAACAACCTCAGCAACATCACCAACAACATCAACAACACCAACATCAACAACATGACACTTCACATAGGAAACGACAGATTGTCGATAGCGACAATGAAGACGACAGTGATGAATGCATACCTGATAATTCATCGACCTCATCATTTAGTTTAAAGAAACCCAAGCATGATATAAGTAAGCTCCTCCTCCATCTCCTCCCTTTCCCCTCCCACTGACCCGATGATTCATCATCATTGTAGGAATGGCCTCCTCCCCGTTGGATGATGGTGCAAGCAGGACCACACAGATACAACACAGGCCTGTCCCTAGCATCAACAACACTGGCTCAATCAATAACAACAACAACAACATGGTTGAACTATTCAATGATGTGATACAAGCATTGACATCACGAATCGAGTCAATGGAGCGCAGAGTTCGTGCCGAACTTACCAAACACACCGAGTCCACTCAGTTGCAGCTGGCCCAGTTGAACAAGGACATCAACTCACTGGTACCTCAGATGGTCATCTGGCAATCACAGCTACAACAGCATCAGCTTCAGCATCAGCAACTACACCAACAACAGCAACAGCAACAGCAACAGCAACAGCAACAACAACAACAGCAATCACAATCACAACCACAATCACCGATCCACCCACAAAGCAACATATTGAGTTACCTGCCAGGCCCAAGCGGGTCGTCACGGAACGCTGGCAACTTCGTCGGCGGCAGTGGTGGCGACACTAGTCCCTTTCCCCTCAGACATTTCACCAGTGGCCGCAGCAACACCAATAGCAACGTCAACGTCAACGTCAACAACATTGCCAGCTTCGGCATCAGTGGTAGCACCATTGGTGAAGGTGGCAACAACCCATTTATAGAACAGCGAGACCTAAAAGACCTTTTACCATCATTCCATCGTAAATAAGCATGGCCTCTCTCCACTCCGTGGCGCACATGGCCAGTCAGTGGACTTCCATTTAGAATAGCACGCACGCACTTGGAGCGATGGAGAGAGAGTGACTATTATTATGACCGAGCGCATGGAACTAGAGAATAAACAGATCTGGTTACCATAATGTATGAGTGAGAGATAGAGAGGCGCGGCCATGCCCATGAATGAGTTTATTAACCTGTGCCAGCACTAGCATCGCAGCAGGATACCATTGGATGTGTGGGTGGTGTCAGAGCCCAAACGAGGAAGATGGAGAGAGCTCAACACCACCTGGGTTGCGGGACGATGGACTGGACATCTGCTCCGCTGATTGGCTGTGCATCGGACTGCCAGAGGGTGAGGGTGAGGCGACACTAGAGGCATTCCTCTTGCATCCACCGCACACCATGTATACCATGGGGCGCTTATGTGTCTTGCGGCCGCTGCCACTTCCACTGCTGCCACTGCTACCGCGGCTCGCACCCAATGATCCCGGAGAATCAGCAGACTCATCTAATGATGTCGTTGATGACGATGCTGAAGCGGTAGCATACTCATTCTTTGTCTCACTATACTCGCTCTTGTCCAATATTGTGATGTCGTTGGGCAGACAGGCGAAGCAGTACGAGCATGGACAATCCTTGCACAAGAAGAAGCTACCCTCAGTATCGGATGATGTCTTCTTACACTTTGAGCAAGTATGTCTTGGACATTTCCAACTCCGAGGTGTCTGTGCCAGTCCAGCACACAAGCGATGGTATATCATGGGGCATGACCTACAGAGCACAATGAATCTGTTTCCCTGTGCATCGTCCTGTTGCTTGCATATGAAGCAACACTTTTCTAACTGTGATTGGAATAATTCCAGGCGGAGGAGTTAGAGATGACGGACGGAATTCCAACCTGATTGAGTGAGACATACCAAGTTCTTCTGACGCTTGTTACTCCTTTTCTTCTTGTCACTTGATGCCAAGTCTGATGAGCTGAGGCTTGCAGAGTCGTTGATTGAGGAATGGTCGGTGGGTACACCTTGAGGGAGATGATGGGCGAGGCGTGGACTGCTGGTCTTTGGACTAGGGCTCCTCCACATCATCTCTCCGTCATGTGCCTGGACATAAAGGGGAGCTAGAGATGGCGTGGTCTTGTGTGAGCCTGGAAGAGATGGTGAGGTCAATGGGGATGGAGAGTCTTGTGACTTCCTCACCGACATTGGCACACCACCAGTAGGTGAAGGTGATGAGGACATCTTAACGATGCAGTACTTCATCATCTCGACCATCTTATCCTTCATTGGCGTGAACTTTGGAGAGATGACTCCTGGAGCATCTTGTTGCAACCTCTGAAGTTGTTGTTGCTCATCCTGATTGTATGCCCAATTCTCTACAGTGTTCTGTCCAATCAACTTGATACATAACATCATTGATGTTGTATTGTTGTTGTTATTGTCCATTGTGGAGGCAGCAGTAGTGGATGGTGTCTGTTGTTGCCAATAATGGTCATAATGGACAACAATATCACTGTTGGAGTATTGGTGATAGGATGATGATTGATCGAAGGTGGACAGTAATATATGAGGCTTCTGAATACCTTGCCAATGTTGTTGATAAGATTTGAACGTGGCCTCATCAGTATCCAGTACATAGGCATATGTCCTGTAAAAATATATTATGTGTTAGTACATGCTCATCAATCAATCGATCACTGGCTCAATGGCTTACATTTGGGTACAGAACTCCTCGAGGACGGACAACATGGACGTGGATCCGGTGAGGACTACCAGACGATTGGATGGGAGCTGGTTGGATGCTTCGAGGATATCTTCAAGTGCCATTAACTTGCATGATGTGCGCTGTATCTCAGAGACTGGGACTGATCCAGAGGACACCTCGATGCCATCATCTCCCAACATCGATGTTGGATGATTGACAGTATCCATCAGTTTGAGATATAGGTCAAAGAGCAATGAGGTCTTACTCTCCTCACTCGAACATTGTGATACCTTGGGAATGTTGATTTTGAGTAGACGTACATATTGTGTCTTCTGGACACTGGTCAGAGCAAGGAATAGGGGCAGGTCCCTCTTGCGCTGTTTGAGGTGTCCTTGAAGGAGGTCGGCAATGTGGCGTACTTGGCTGCCGCGTGGGGAGGGCGAAGGCGATGGCGAGCTGGGCATCTCGATCCAAGAAGCACTGCGCTTCTTGGAGATGGGTGTGAGGGAGAGGAGAAGATCGCTATTTGGTGGAGGGGAGGAGGGAGATAGGGCGTTGTGGCTGGGCGGGGAGGAAGAGGACAACGTCTGGCTATTTATTATTAACTCGTGATAGCCTGCAGTGCTGTTGGACAAGCTGAACGGAGTCAATGGGGTGGACGGTGGCGACGACACCATCGAGGGAGGTGAAGTGGCCGCTTGATAAGGTGAATCAATTGGTGAAGATGGAATTGAATGTTGTTGTTGTTGTTGTTGTTGTTGAGTATATTGATGGTGTTGGTGATAGTGGAGGTTGGGATGGATCAGGATATGAGCGGGGATGGGTGGTGGAGGGGGACTTAGATGTCCAACGGGTGGTACCTGGGCTGCCATGTTCAGAATTGGCATGTTCATTGGCATGGCCATCGGCATGGTCATGGGCATGGACATAGGAGAAGGGGCAGCACCAGTTGGAAACGGGAGCATGTGGTAGCCTGGGTAGCTATGGGCGGTAGTGTTTGGATATCCAACATTGTTGAGTTGGTCGTGAATAATCATTGATGGGTGATATTGTGGATGATAGTTCTGAGGATAGCCATGTAGGTATGGTTGGCTATTATTAATATTAAATAATTGTTGTTGTGGATGTGTCGGTGTCTGTTGATATACAGTAGTAGTAGTTGTTGGTGCTGGTGTAGATGTTGGTATTGAGACCTGGAATTGTCCGTTATTATTATTGATATTATTATTATTATTATCCAGGTTTGGTCTATTATAAATAGAGTCTCCCATTGTGAATGGAAGTTTGAGAACTCCCCACTCTAGCTAGGAGTGAGATGTCTTGGTATATGCTTTGGCGTCAACCAATAAATATGGCCTATATTAGTTGAGCTTGCTGGTTCTTTGATTTTTCCACTTAATATTTATATCAATCAACTTCTATGTCCAGAGGACGAAAAATGGATTAAACTGATGGGTTGACGAGGTACACTTGATAGTTGGTTGATTGATTGATTAATTGGTTGAGTTATTGATTGAGAATTATAGAATTACTGGATGGGTGATCGATTGATTAAATAAATGAATGAATGAATGAATGAATGGATTGATTCCAACGATAGAGAATGAATAAAAAGTTTGATGTTGGTAGCGCTGAATAAAGTAAGTACTATGAGTTATAGATAGGATGTTGATGGAGGATCGTATTTGGTAAATAACTTTAGATTGGTTGTTGGATGATGGATGTTGGTTGTTGGGAAGTAAAATAAAAAATAGGTCGTATGTTGTTGATGAGGAAGAGGTGCTAACTAGCTAGCTAGCTATCTATAATCGAGGCGCACTCGAGAGCAAAGGTGAAGTTGATGGGCACGAGGCTGTTGGTGGGACTTTCCCGAGTGGTAGGATTTAAGGTTCTATTGATTGATTGATTGGTTGATAGGCTTAATTTCGAGAACAGTGGACAGTAACACCCGTGTTGGTGGTCTTGGTGGGATGGATGGGTTTGTTTGATTGATTGCGGGTGAGGATGTTGGGTTCAAGTACGTGATGTGTGTGTGTTTGTATAAATGGGCGTCTTGTGGGTCGAGGTTTGTGATGTCCTTTGGCAATAAAACAGTCAAATAAGGTGTAAAAGATAGAGTGTAGATAGGTGGAGGTAGTGTAATTGTTGTTGTTGGTGGATGGATGGATGAATGGGGAAGAGTCGCTTCTAATTATATTATTCTTATTATTATTATTATTATTTATATCTGTGTGTGATGTTGTAAACAATGTTATTGCAGTATCGATTGATTGTTTGATTGTTTGATTATTGTTGATGTTCTTGTTCCCTGTTTAACGAATTATAACGAGTGATTCGAGATAATAGATAAGAATAGTGAACTAACTTTATCAAGGTCGGTCACCATGGATTAATCTATATATCATAACTCAATATCAATCACCTCCACTCTCATAGACACTCACCCAAACACACACATTTGGTTAGACTCGCGTCCGCAATGATGATCAATTGACACCTACAAGTCGCCTGTCTGGCATTGTTGACCACTAATTGAGCCAAGAAAGGGGGGGTCGAAGAACGTGACTTCGTAGGCCGGCAAGGAGGAGGCGCAACGGGGGGTCAGGGCTACCCCCTCGCCTCTAATTGTTGCGGGCGAAGCGTTGGTAATGCTTGGGGACGAACCTTTGGCAGGGGGGCGGGCACGCTCGGATGGACTCAGGTTTTTGATTGAAGCGAAGGCGCGCCACAACTCAGAACTGGAAGCCTCTATCAAATGCAACAGGGATTCGGCCCCAAAACAAAAGAGATAGGCCTTCACATTGTTTTGTTTTTTTGTTTTGCCTAGCTGGACCTTGTTTCAAAGTTGGGCGTGACGACCATCACCTCTCCGGATGACATTGTAACCCAGGACCCAACATCACTGATGTATCTTTGATTTACATACGATCGCGAATATCAAAAGCAACCGATCAGATGATCATCCTGGCAGCCCGGAATGAAGACACACGATGGACTGTCTCAAAGTGTGTGATTGGTGATTGGATATTCGCGATCATACGGTTCCCAGCCCGTTTCGTCTACGTGTAGCTAGACTATCTATGCAATCTTCAACATATCGGACATTCTTTGAGTCCGAAGAGTAATACCAATAACATTCCAAGGATATATGTTTGCTATATTCGTGTTGACATGACTATTGGGGAGGGTTAATATCATTTCGTTTCATTTCGTTTCGTCTCGAGCGTGACAATGATCATGATGTTGTCAACCCTTGTACGATTTGACAAGTCATGACATACTTCGACATCATGTCAACATTGTTGTAAACAATTAATGTTGTTGACCACGGTTGACCCTTGTCTGAACTTCTGGTCCACTAACTTGCTTGGTTATTCTCTATTTGTTTGATTCGAACAACTTTTGTAAAGTGAACGAACGAATGAATTCAAGACAAGGTCTTGTTAGTGCCCATCCCCACACATCTTACAAGAAACAACTTACAAGAAATTGAGATAGAGATAGAGATAACATGGTCGAACATATACCTCTATTCTACACTGATACAACAAATGAGTTGTTGACTGCGCCTCATCAACAACCTGAACATCAACCACAAAAAGACACCAACAACAACAACAATAATAACAATAATGTATTCGATGATGAATACTTTCAGATACAGACAAGCATTGATACAATTGCAAAGTTTGGCTTCAAACGTGTTGCTCTACAACTACCGGATAGTTTGTTGTGGGCTGGCCGCACTATCACTGCCAAACTAGTAACAGCCGCACCACAATGCAAAGTGTTCATACTTGGAGACACATCATATGGCAACTGTTGTGTTGATGAAGTTACAGCTTCACATCTAAAGGCTGACTTTATTATTCATTATGGTCATTCATGTCTATCACCGTATGTTTGTTCATTCATTCATTCATGTCTCACTCACTAATCCATCAATCGAACGAACAGGGCAACTAAACTACCAGTACAATACGTGTTTGGACGCAAGCAATTCGATGTGGATACATTCGTCACATGCTTTAGAAACAAGTTCTCATCAAGTGATAAGGTGATCATCTTTTATGATCTGCCCTATCACTTCATCGTACCAATGCTACGTGAACAACTGCCTGCAAGTGATGTACATCTGATAACAGACATTGACAGTTTTAACAATATATACTACAGTCAATCATTCATCAATAACAAACCGACCTCCACTGCCAACTGCGACAACAACAACAACACTGGATGTTGTAACAATAGCAACAACAACAAGGATGATACTGATCAAGGTTGTTGTGGTGGTAACAACAATGGAAGTAGTGATTGCTGCTCAACTTCACCATCATCATCATTTGACACTAAATTGGAAACAGAGACAAAGAGTGATGACTTGATCTTTGGCAGGAAGCTATCAATCGATCACAAAGACATTGAACAGTACACAATATTATGGATTGGAGAGGAATGCGTTACATTGACCAACCTCCTAATGAACTTTAACAAGAACACTGTATGTCATCTCATGTCCATGTCATATCCTTGGACAGGAATGAAATGAACTGGATTGGACTGGACTGGACTGACTTATACTCAATCAATCAATCAATCAATCAATCAAATGTAGTTTTATAGTTACACTGACAACAAGATACAACAGGTCACATTAACCAAGTCACAATCATTGATGAAGCGTTACTACATATCCAACAAATGCAAGGATGCCAACATTATTGGTATTGTCGTGGCCACACTCACTGTCCGTATGTATCTTGCGTCAGGATGTGCCTTGGGCGCGACCATGCAATCAATCAAACATGACACCTGACCTCAACCAACCAACCAACCGCCAATGTAGAGAAATACTCAGAGACTATTGAGAGACTGAGGAAGCTGATATTGGAAGCTGGAAAGAAGCCTTATGTGTTTGTGGTTGGACGTTTGAATGTACCAAAGTTGGCCAACTTCTCAGAGATTGATATATTTGTGGCTGTTGCATGCCCAGAGAACACTATAATCGACTCCAAAGAGTACTTCAAACCAATTGCCACACCATTTGAACTCAACCTGGCGCTGAGAGGACAGGAATGGACTGGCCAGTACATCACAGACTTTGGCCGATTGTTCCCTCACCTGGTACAGCCACTCAATGATGGCAATCAATCGACAACAAGATCTGATGTTGAGCGTGATGAGGATGACGTCAGTGATGAAGAGGGCAACAGGTATCACTTCTCATTGAGCTCTGGAAAGATTGTAAAGTTCTACAATGCATCGGCAGCAGCTTCAACAACAACATCCAATACTAGTGGTGGCGAGATGGTATCAGTCGATGACAAGCTCAAACAATTGAGTACGGCGACCAATGCCAGCGAGTACTTTGTAGGAAGGACATATCGTGGACTCGAGACCAGGATTGGCGAGACCGAGGTGACCAAGGCCATCACGGGCATGTCCGGTATCCCGATGGGTTACAACACAGACAAAGAGTCAACGACGACCAATCAGAGTGAGGACGCAAAGTAATCGATTAATTGACAATACAGTAACGCACTGCGCTGCTTTCAGGTCCTGACGTGGCTTGATTGTCCTGGACATTTGGGCTTTCCCTTCTCCCTCACGTTCGAGCTTCGACTTTTTTGTTTTGTTGTTGTCTGTTTTGCAAGATTCTTCACTCTCAATCCCGTGTTGCATTTCACAAGATTGAATTGTCTTCATACTTATCTCTTTTCAAACTTACAAACAGATAATATCATATATATATATATTAAACATAGTAGTGTAGAGTAGTGTAGTTAGTTAGTAAAGATAATGGCTGGTAGACTATTCTCAATGTCAACGGGTATGACGATCATACACTTTGCCCTATCAATCATACTGTTTGCAGAGGCCATCGTATTATTTATAGCAAAGGATCTAGTTGCCTTCAATGGCCTACTTATATTGTATGTCATCATCATCATCATTCTCTCTTGACTCACTTACTCATTCATTCAAACATTGATACAACAACAACAGGTTGTTTAGCGTCTGGATGGTAGCGACTGCATTGCACGGTTGGAAGTACTATCAACAGTACTACTTCATGTATACATATGGTGGAAGAGGTGTATTCTATTTAGTGTAGGTGACAGAATGAATGATGGATGATGACGCAACACGATAATGATGACTTACTCAATGACATACTCACTTGGATTGATACTACATAGTGTTGGACTACTGGTATGGGGCAGCAATGATAGCAACTACTTCTCTGGTGTGGTCAGCATCCTATTCATTCTGTTTGGCATTGCTGGCATTGGCTTGGGCGGATTCTCTGTTTACGAACCACCTCGTCCTATCATTGGACCAGAGGACTTTATCCCATTAGGTGAGAAGAAGGTGTCACTCTCCTCACAGCAAGACTCACTCGAGGATGGTCTTGGATCCTCCTCCTCCTCAATATCATCGATGCCTCCAACAATCACAAGTCAACAACCAACCTTTTCACTATAACTTCATTCATTCATTCATTGAGTTGGACTAGTCACCTCTCTGCGATTCGATGCGATGCGATTGAGTGTTCCAATCACTCAACTGCGACAACAAACACACTTCACCATGTGCTTGCATGGTTAGATCTCGATCAGACAAAGACCCTGTCCATCCATGCAATCCTCCTCTTCCTTCCTCCTCCTCTTCCTCTCTTCCTCCTCTTCCATCCTTGCATCTCCATGCATTCTAAGTGCATGCTGTATCTATCTATATATCTTATCCACAGCTATTGACGTTCAACACTTGTACGTCCACTCGACCAAGCATCATTCAATCAATCAATCAATCAATATACCATGTTCGACCGCCGTTATAATGGTGTGCATCGTCATCATCAACTTCATCATCATATGAGTGAGGGGCACTTGACAATGTACAAGACGACACTCTGAGTGTCTGATCGTTTCGTGTTTATGGTCTTCTACTTCTTGTGACTAACTGAACTGAACTGAATGACTGAACTGACTGGACTATCTACGTGGAGCAGGCTTCATTGGTCGCGACTGAGATAGATTATTTTGTGAGGCAGCTGGTGGAGCTACCCTTTGTGACGCCTGTGATGATGTTGATCGAGTGGTGACCAATGGAGCAATCTCCTCTTCCTTCTCCTCTTCGTCGTCGTCTTGCTCCTCCAGCTCGATTGACTTGAGCAGCATTGGGTCGAGCGGTCCCTCCACACCATAGACATCAGAGATCACCTGAAGTATCAACCTCTTTGAGCACTCTGCCATCGATCTCGGACCGAACCTGTACACGAATATGGACGATGTGTCCTTGATGGCCTTCTTCTTGACCAGGTAGCCCTCCTTGACGTAGCGATCGATGTTCTTCTCCCATTCGCCAAACGTGGGATGCAGACGGCCGGGCTCAAAGCCCAGACGCAGCAGCTTCTCGTTGAGCATGTCTGACTCGACCATGTGGTTGTCCAGAAGTATGATGCCGAGTATGATCGATAGCAATCCCTTTTGTTGGGCATTGAGCAGCGTCTCTTTGTTCTCGACCGCGGCCACCTTGGCAATCTCGTTCATCAGCTCGAGCGGCAACATGTTCTTGATCATAAAGATTGTGGACGTGTCGGCCTTCTTGCCATCCTTGAACACGTCGATCAGCTCCAGACCAAAGATGTCTTTCAGTCTCTGTCGACCCGAGTCAAACACGGCCGTGATGACCTTCTTATCCTTGTAGTTGGTCAACACTTTTGACACAATGTCTGCACGCGTCAAAGGCAGCTTCTTGCGATCGGCAAACACAACATATCTAACAAACTCATCGATCAACTTCCTTATTTCCTGTGTGAACATGTCGCCGCGTCGAGTGAGTGTTAGTCATCATCATCATCATCACGGCAGTCGAGTTGAACATGCTTGCTTACATCTGGCGAGACATCTGCTGCTGAACGTGATGAGGCTGGTGCGGTGGGACGACCGCGACCTCCGCGCCCACCACGACCACCTCGTGCACCTCGAGCTGACTTTCTTGGTGTGCCCTCCTCCTCGCTGTCATAGTCTTCAGAGTCATCACCGCTCTCTTCTGATCCTTCATCGACCACGACATCATCATCCTCCTCAGACGAGTCCTCCTCCTCTTCTCTTACTACTCTCTTTCCTGTTGCTCTTGTAGGTGTAGCTGGTGGTCTACCACCTCTAACTCCTCCTCTGCCTCTTTGTGACATATTACTATTATTATTTCAAGTTATAAGTATGAATGATTGAATATCTATTCGTTACAACGTATGACTATCGTTTGTTTGAAACAAACAAACTCATAAATTTTTGAAGTCTGGGCGCGCCAATCTGGATTGAGTCTCGCATCGACTATGCTAACTTCTGGAGAGTCACGATCTTGGCAATAGTGCAAACTAATGGACCTCTGGAAACAATGATTAATTGGTCAACAATACCAATAGTTATATAAACTTAATATCGTTGCCCTACCAGACTCCAACTCAAGAGTGTGATGAACACTTTAAATAATAAAGACAAATGAACCATCAATCAATGAATCATTATAATCATTATCACTAATATGATAAATTATCTGTAATTGTCCATAAATATAAAGATCTTGGAGAATATATCTTTCTCCTAAGAAACATCTTATGATGATGCTAAATTTCAATGCCTTTCCTATTTTGGTACTAACGTGCATCATCCCCGATTTTTTCAATTTGAATGTATTAGTGATCATGATGTAGTGTGTGTTTATGTGTGTTTCTCTCAACCCCCTTCTCACCATCAACATGAATAACGTCAACCTTTGATTCATACACCTCATTCCATTCACCTCATTTCATTTATTCACTTCATTCCATTACAACATACAGAATATATAATTATTATTATTATTATATTACTTTAACAAACAAACAAACAAACCAATATATATACAATGTCTGCAGCATCGATCTTCACTACTTTGGAAGCCGTCCTCAAGAAGGAGGGAGAGTCCGTCGTCAAGTCTGTCAACGGAATCTACCAATTCGATATCAACACTGCTGCTGGTCTGAAGTCATGGGCTGTTGACCTGTAAGTCTTGTATTAGTATCTCTTAAATACTACGACTTGAGTAGTACTAACTAATATCCCCTTGATCGAATTAAACAGGAAGAATGGATCAGGTTCAATCAAGACTGAGAAGCACCCAAAGCCAGAGTGCACAATCACAATGCTCGAGGCTGACTTTATTGACTTGATGAGCGGAAAGCTCAATGGACAGACTGTATGTTGTAACAGATAATCAAGAATGATTGATTGATCGATCAATCAGCTGATCGACATGAATGCTAACTCATTCATTGATGTGATTATACAGGCCTTCATGCAAAAGAAGTTGAAGATCCAAGGAAACATGGCTTTGGCTATGAAGTTGAACAACATTGTCAAGAAGCTCAAGGACTCCCCATCTGGAACTGCTGCTGCCGCCGCTGCTGCACCAGCTGCCCCAGCTGCCCCAGCCGCTGCTGGAAGCCTCGATGATGGCACCCCAGTCGGCAAGATGTTTGCCGATCTGGCCAAGACTGTCGCTGGCAAGCCAGAGCTTGTCAAGCAGATCAACGGTGTCTACCAATTCAACATCACTGGCGCCGCCGAGAAGACCTACACTGTCGACCTGAAGAACGCCCCAGGCGTCGTCAAGGCTGGTCCACCAACCAAGGCTGACTGCACCATCACCATCAAGGACGAGGACTTCCTCAACCTCATGTCAGGCAAGGTCAACGGACAGGCTCTGTTTGGTCAGCGCAAGCTGAAGATCGGTGGCAACATGGGTCTGGCCATGAAGCTTGGTCAAATCACCAAGGCCAAGCCAGCTGCCAAGTTGTAAACCTCTTTAACAATCAATCACCAATACATCAACCTTTTTAACCTCTATCTCTATCTCCTCAACTCAGTTGTACACAACTCGGATAAAAGACCTAGCTTTAATTAATTAATTATCGAAGACAGAGTTGGATTGATTGAATGGATTGGATATAATTGGATATTGATAGACCGGAATGGATTGGAATGGAATGGATTAGAAGTTGTCTAGGGTTTGGATCTTTCCACCCATGTACACTGGAATGGTGTCTGTTTGGGTTGTGTTGTTGGCGACTGGTGCCCTCTTTCTTCTCTTCATGATCATTACTCCTGCCACCAACAAAAGGGCGAGTGCTGGAATGCCAACACCAAGTCCAACACCCAGTCCAACTGCCAGTCCACGACCAGATGCACCTGGCGTGAATATTGTTTGAGCGATGGGATTGGGAATGATGCCACCAGCCGCAGAACAGTTTGATGGTCTGTTGATTATGACACTCGACAAGTGGACACATCCATGCGAGTCTGTGATGTTGACCGTGTACTCTCCATTGGGCCAGTAGGATACATTGAGGTATGGACTGGTGATTGCAGAGTTGTTGGCTGCGAATATGAGGTAGGCACCTTGTGAATTTGGAACACCTCCTGTGATTGATACCAACAAGTTCTCGGTGGTGGAGCATGGCGAGAATGTAGTCGGACTGGCTTGGATTGGTTCAGGTACGGTGATATTGATCTTCATCCTGTTGTGTCTACAGAATGAAGTGTCGTTTGATAATACAATTGCGTCCAAGGTGTAGACACCGGCTGGCAAGTTCCTAAATCTAGTGTCATTGTTGGTCATGGCCAATGACTTTTGGCTATTACCCAAACTATCAACTAGATTGTACTCCACACCAACCATTGCATCGACTTGAATGGATGACTTGTCTCCAAAGCAAAGACTTGGCTCGACAACATTATATGATGGAAAGTTGAATACTGGTACACCAGGGATGGTGATGGCAACTTGTAGTGAACATTGTGGTGATGATACAGTGACATTGTCTCTATCTTGAACTGTGAGAGAGTACTCCTTCAGACCAGATAGTTTGGTGAAAGTACCATTTTGGATGTCAACTGGTGATGGAGGGTCCAGAATATAGGTGTACTTTGATGGATTATAGTTTGTGATTGTAATACTTCCATCCGAAGTCGAGGTACATGTTGCCTTGTCAGCCTTGAATGCTGGGCTTGGTGTGGCTATTATTGTAGAGACTACGGTTAATATTTTGAACCAAGGTTTGAACAAAGACCAACTACTTACGCTCTTCAATGATGCTGACCTTGGAAGTATATTCACAAATGAATCCATACTTGTCAGTGGATGTGACATCGACAACATAGGTACCTGGTGGCATGCTATCAAACTTTCCACTCTTTGATATCTTGTTGACATCTCCTGATTGAACTGTGTAAACGAATGTTGTTGGAGATGATGTCTCATTTGGAAGTATAAAGTTCATTCTTCCGCTCTCTGATCCCTGGCATGTATGGGTAATGGCAACCTTGGTAGGGTCTATAAAACATTAACAAGTAGTTAGTATATGTCTACTTTATGAATGAATGAATGAATGGTGATTGATACACATACCTTGTGGTTGTCTAACAACAATGGTAACATGGCTTGAGATGTTTACAGTTTGTGACTCGACATGGACGACATAACGGCCTGGTGCAAGACTGTTTCTTGATCTCTCATGACCGTTGGTGTCCAACCATGTGAAGTTATAAAGATTGGATGTATCCCTGAGCAGAATCTGGCCATTAGAAGCATTGACACATGGATCATTGACCTGGACTTCGAATCCTGGAATGATCTTTTCAAACATATTTCCACCAACAACTGGAATGAACAACTTTAGATTTGATGGAAGATGAGTTAGTCCTGGTACCAAGACTCTGTCAATGATCATTCGAATGTATAGTACTTACTAGTTCAACACCATTCTGAGTGAATGGTCCACAGAAGTTACCAGTTGAGCTGAAGACTGGATATTCGGTGTATTGTTTGGACTGGACATCGTAGACTCTGAAGCCATCTGCATAGCCAACACCAACATACCCAGTTGTACCATAAGGTGACATGGAACATGCATCACCAACATTGATAACAGCACTCTGGAACATTGAATCAACACTAGTTGGATAAGAAAATTGTGTAACTTTCTTCGACTCCCTATCAAAAGTAATCAAAGATCTATCAGGTTGAGTGGCAGGATCAGCATATAATACCTCTGGCTCAGTATTGAATGGCTTGCCCTTGTCCGAGAGTCCGTCTACATTGTGATAATCATGTTAGTGAGTGTTTGAGAGGGAATGAATCAACGCGACTTACATCCACTACAATCCTTCTCGTGAATTAGTGCATCTAGGAATCCATCTGATGTAACCCAGATGAATCTATCGTCAACGGCAATGTTGGTACACTTGGTGGCCTTGTACATGTTGAGTTTGTAGAACTCCTCGGTGTCGATGTTGTAGGAGGCCAGGTCACAGGCATCCATTCCACCATCAATGACATTGGAGTACATAACAATACAATTTCCATAAGCTGATGCACCAGAGATATTGAATGAGAACTCTGTCAATTTATCACCACTGAGTGTGCAGTAACCATCTTGACATCTCCTCGTGGAGTTCAAGTCTTGATGGAAACTCAGCACATAAGGCATTGCCACGCCTTGTGATCTTGTATTGACAATTGCCTGAACTGGGAAATCAGTATAAATAAGTTGTCCTGTAATTATGGAAATCATTGATTGGTTAATACTTGATCGATTGATTCATTTCGAATCCATTCCATTCCATTCCATTCCAACTGTTAATGATCAACATACCATTAATTATATTAAATGATATATTAAAAATAATAAATAAATAAATAAATAATAATTTCAACATTGTTTTAAAATGTTGTTTATAATTATTATTAATAAATAATTATTTGTATATGAAGAATCTAGATACTATATTTGTAGTTGGTGATTGACTGATTGTAGAGTGAACAAACAAACATTTAGAATACAATGAGTGAATGATATGATGTCAAACAGGCAGTTAGTAGTGGAGGAGTGCATGTTCATTGCAATGAACTGACCAACATCATAGGCGACATCATTAATTCCATGTATGTCTCCCTCCAAAATAGTCGAAGTAGGCTCCTTCTCCTTAATTGTTGATGTGTGTGTGTATGATTGATTATAATCAAATGTATCTATCTGTTGTGGATATAATAGGTAATGTTTGTGTGTGTATGTGTGTGATAGTGAAGGGGGTTGTTTAACGATTCAACAACAATGCTGTGGCCAACACACAACACACCTTGGTAAATGCAATGACAATGAGAATGAGAATGGGAATGGGAAGTGGCAATGACGATGGGGCAATAAGTCAGTCATTCAGTCAGTCATTGTTGACGGATATGGAGGAGAAGTGGTGGAACAGGTCATGTTGGTCTGTCGATATAGTGAGGAGTATATTAGCATTAATCATTCATTCAAACAATCGATCATCAGCATTCGCTGAATCAACATCTGTCCAACTATCAATCAATCAAATCCATCTATCAATCAATCAATCAATTAATGATTGATGGCGCTCAACAACAAACCACAATGTAGTAGTAGTAGTAGTAGCAAGTCGGGTCAGGTTAGGTCAACAGTGCAGAAGGTGTGTATGATGTTGATGGGGACTGACTGACGCTTCAGTCAGCAGAGATAGAGAGAAGGGATGTTATTTCTTCTTTGGTGTGAGCTTGGTCATGAGATGGCAATCGGCCGGTTGAATTCTGTTGTAATAGTTTGGTATGGTCGAGGTGATTGTGTATCCGTGCTTGGTGTAGAACTCGATGGCTTCCGAGTTGACCTGTACGTGCAGCGTGATCTTTGAGTAGTTGTGCTGCTGGCATTGCTCCTCGACAAAGTCGAGCAGTCTCTTGCCGATGCCCAACTTCCTATACTTGGCCAACACGCCAAATGTCATGATATACAAGCATGGTGACTCGCCCTTTGGTGTATCTATCCTGCATGACACTGCTCCAACAACTATATCATTGAAGTATGCTGTTATCAATTGATTGATTGAGTAAGTGATGGTGTCTTCTCGTGGTCATGTTGCGGTCGTAGACATACCAAGCTTTGTGATAGTGTTTGGTAGTAACAGGTTGCTGTAGAACTTGTCGTCGTAGGTCAGTGGAAATGTGGAGGTGTTCAGCAGACGCAGTTGACCCATGTTCTTCTCGGTCAAGTCGCCCAATGCTATATAACTACTGAATGGTGATGTTGAAGTAGTCTGTGATGATGATGTTGTTGTCGTAGTTGACGTTGGTGTTGTATTGTTATCTGCTGCTGTCATCTTTGTTTGTTTATATCTCTATCTTATTCTTTGTATGAATGAATGTATGTAGATATATGATCAACTTGATCAAACTGATCATTCAATTACACACAAACACGTGAGTGGGAATGATTGATCAGATTCAAGTTTGAACGATACTATGCAATCAAAAATTGGAGGGAGTCCAACACAAGACAAGACATGTTATATGTATATAATACAAGTATTTATTACTTCGCTACATCTCTTGAGGTAGGTTCGCGTGGATCATTCATTCCAAACATGTTCCTGTCGCCACGCCACTCCTCGCCACGACATGCCACGCCACTACCCGCCAAACATCTGGCGTCGCGCGCACCAAGTCGCTCGCTCGCAGGAGAACGCGTTTAATATCCATAGGATGGAACGTGTGTGACGTACCACTCGCAGAACTCTCTCTCATCGATGCTGCCAGAGCAGTTGGAATCGATTTGGTAGAACAACATCTTGACCTGTCCCTTGTACATGTGGTAACCTAGATGCTTGAGGACGTGCTTGAACTCCTTCTTGTTCAAACGTCCATTGCAGTTGGAGTCGTGGATACGGAAGGCAGCGGAAGCCTGCATGAACTTGGCGTGCAGGTTGGAGGGCAGGCCGACCGGCAGAATGAAGGCGGCAGTTCTAGAGTATGGTGTGGAGTATGAGTACGTTGGGCGAACGTAGACGGCCGACTGAGCAGCGCCGTAGCCGCCGGCAGCGGGGTAACCGCCTGGATAGCCTCCGACGGCGGGTGGGTAGCCACCTGCTGCTGGATAGCCAGCACCTGGTGGGTATGCGCCTGGGGCACCTGCTGGGTAAGCTCCTGGTGGGTAAGCACCTGGGGCACCTGCTGGATAAGCACCTGGAGCACCTGCTGGGTAAGCTCCTGGAGCACCGGCTGGGTAAGCGCCTGGAGCACCTGCTGGGTATGCACCTGGGGCACCTGCTGGGTAAGCACCTGGAGCACCTGGTGGGTAAGCACCTGGAGCGCCTGCTGGGTAGGCACCTGGAGCACCGGCTGGGTATGCGCCTGGAGCACCTGGAGCACCGGCTGGGTAGGCACCTGGGGCACCTGGTGGGTAAGCACCTGGAGCTCCAGTTGGTGGGTATGCGCCTGCTGGTGGCTTAGCTCCAGCTGGATAGGCACCGGCTGGGTATGCTCCTGGCTGACCTGGAGGATATGCTCCTGGCTGTCCTGGAGGGTATGCGCCGGGCTGACCTGGATAAGCTCCTGGCTGGCCTGGCTGACCTGGTGGGTAAGCTCCTGGCTGACCTGGCTGACCAGGAGGGTATGCTCCTGGCTGGCCTGGCTGACCTGGAGGGTAAGCTCCTGGCTGACCTGGCTGCTGTGGATAGGCGCCTGGCTGGCCTGGCTGACCTGGTGGGTAAGCTCCTGGCTGACCTGGCTGACCGGGTGGGTATGCACCGGGCTGACCTGGAGCAGGTGGGTACGCTCCTGGTGGCTTAGCAGCGCCAGGTGTTGGATAGGCTCTTGTGGGTAGGCGCCTGGCTGACCTGGCTGTTGTGGAGGATAAGCTCCTGGTTGACCTGGCTGTTGTGGTGGATAAGCACCTGGCTGACCTGGCTGTTGTGGTGGATAAGCGCCTGGCTGGCCTGGCTGCTGTGGTGGGTATGCGCCTGGCTGACCTGGCTGTTGTGGAGGGTAGGCGCCTGGCTGACCTGGCTGCTGTGGTGGATAGGCTCCTGGCTGACCTGGAGCGGGTGGTGGAGGGTATGCGCCTTGCTGACCTGGAGGTGGTGGTGGGTATGCACCTGGCTGACCTTGAGCTGGTGGTGGTGGGTATGCGCCCTGTTGACCTGCTTGGTAGTAACCTGGCTGGTAAGCACCTGGTTGTTGTTGTCCGGGAGCGGGATAGCCTCCAGCGGCAGGAGGATAGCCTCCGGCGGCGGGGGGTTGATACAAACCTTGTTGGCCTGGCGCTGGGGGTGGTGGGTAAGCGCCAGGAGTTGCTGATGATGTCTGTCCTGGGATCACCTTGACTGGCATCTGCGAGAATGCATCAGAGGCTGAACCGGCTGGAGGAGGTGGTGGTGGGTTTTGCATTTGTTATATAAGTATGTATATATCTAAGTATAAATGAATGAATGGATGTATGAATGAATGAATAAGTGTGTGAGAGGATACTTGTGTGTGTGAAGGATGGACCTTTGATTAAAAAGTTGATGAAGTGGGTGGTGCTGGGAAGGTCCTTGAAGTTTGATGAAGGTCCACACAAACATTTGTTTTGAATTATGTTTTGGGGTCTTACAGCTCATCAGATGTGACAATATCAAAAGTTGGTGTGATGCTTCAACGAATCACCCATCTCGTTTATCCGTTGATGGATTGACTGATTGATCAATGATCACCAAAATCTGTTCTGTGTGATGTCGTGTCATGGGATAGTTTGGACCATGACAACACGACCGACCTCGACACGACGATGTAAATAAGTTCGTCTTTCATTCCCAGGTCTATAATTAGTAGTAGTAATACACGAATGCACCCAGGGATAGATATGTTTTGACAAACATCTGATCGGTGGAACTATTCCAACGACTTGTCGTCAACAATAACTCGACAAACAAATAATTGATTACTCGCGACCATCAATAGTATTTCCATGTTTGTTGTTTCGCTCGATTCGCTTGTAGGGACATACATTTATTGCTATTCACGCTTAAACGATGGTTCCTGTTGATTGATTGATATGATTGATGTCCAAATTGAATGATTGATTGATGATCGATTCCAAATGGATAGTATAAGTGAGTGAATATGTTTGTTAGTGAGTGCCATGTCATCATCAGATCGAATGAATGATTGAGATACATACCAGCGTTGGTGGCAACCTTTGGCCACAAATCAGAGCACTCCTTGGCAACTGGTCCGAGGATGTTACCCTTGACCTCACCCTTTGGGTTGCAGGTGACACCAGCGTTATCCTCAAAGTAGAGGACGGTGCCGTCCTTGCGTCTCCATTGCTTTCTCTGACGGACGACCAGACCAGTGCAGACCTTCTTTCTGAGCTCGGGCTTTCCCTTCTTGACGGTGGCCATGACCATGTCTCCAACGCCAGCAGCTGGCAATCTGTTGAGACGACCCTTGATACCCTTGACGGCAATGACGTACAAGTTCTTGGCACCAGAGTTATCAGCACTGTTCATGACAGCACCGACTGGGAGACCGAGTGCGACTCTGTAGTTGGATCCGATTGCTTGGGCTAAAGTATTTCGTTATGGTTTATCTGTATTAGAATCATCATTGTCATCATCCCATCGTAGACCTGTATCTTCATCGCTCAATCAATCAATCAATGTATCGCAATATCGCCTTTGATTGATTCGAGGATTGATTGATCGTCGACTGAGGTATCCACGACTGATGAATGATACTGCTGTAATCTAGAAGACATACGCTTGCTCATCTTTGTAAATGTCCCTGTAACAAGTAGAGTTGTGTGTAGTGGAGTGAGACCGATATCTGATCCAAGCTCAAGATGAAGCGAGAGCCAGGACACAGGGTATCCTCAGAGCGAGTGTGTGATTGGTGAGTTGAAAAAATTAAATAAAATTAATGTCATTCAAAGTTGTTGAGTAAACGAGTAACGTTATACAAGAGGGCTGATCACTTCTCGATTTGGGTCTGGCTCCAACAACTTACTTCACGTACTTCTACTTCTCTATCTATCTTTATTATATATACATAATCATTGTAGTTGTGATATTAATATCAAACAATTATACACATATACAATGAACTCACTTGGTATGTTTCGATGAATGAGTGAATGAATGAGCGAGGTGTCGCGACAGGTTAACTCAAGCAACAGGGACATGACAATCAATCAATGACTCATATGACGATCATAGTGCTAACTATCATTCATTCATTCATTATAATGATCATCATTCATTCGATCAATCAATCAATCAATCATTCAAATCACTTGGACGAACAAACAAACAAACAATATAGTCAGCAGCAGCTGCTTCAGGAACTATCGCAATGTAGCGAATGCAATGACAAGAATAATGGCATGTGGACAACAACAACAGTTGATGACATTGCATCAGAGACGATCATATGCAAAGAAGCCAGAGGAGGATACACGTTCGACAACAGAGAAGTTGACGGAGAAGTTTGATATACCAAGAATCATCGATCTCTCGGACGAGCAGTACAAGGTGACCAAGTACCTCAAGAAGGCACAAAAGGCCATCAAGGAGCGCGAGCTCGCGGAGCCACCCCGCCCCGACAGCAAATACAAGGGCACGTTCAAGATGATATCAAGCGTGATCATCGAGCGCTTCCCCTCGCTCGAGCCACTGCCCACCGAGTATGAGCAGCTGCACATGGACCAGGTCGACCGTCTCAACGAGATCGTCAACCGTGAGCCAATCTCAATGGCCGCCATCCTCGAGGACCTGCCCGAGTTCAGGCCCAAGTCGTCGGCGCTGCAGGACGACGCTGCCAAGAAGGAGGAGGACGCCGTCGAGGAGGACTTTGACAAGTTCGTGCCCGAGTCGCGTCAGACTGAGGACGACCACAACAACAACCGCAAATCGTTAAACCGTGCGCTGGACAAGTCGCTCTACCTCATCATCAAGCGTCGCGATGGTGAATGGCAGTTCCCATCCACCGCCTGGATCAGTGGCGAGTCGATGAAGAACGCCGCCGAACGTGCTCTGCGCGATACCACAGGTACCAAGTGGACCTATTGGATTCCATCACAGGCTCCATGTGGCGTGCACAAGGAGTATCTGGAGAAAGAGGATCAAGATATATTGAAGTCAGAGGGTGTCAAGGTATGTTATATCCATTCATTCATTCAATCATGTGATGTCCAATCCAATCCAATCATTATTAACATATCACTGGCCACAATATTAGACATTCTTCTACCGATCACATTACTTTGGAGGCGATTTGACATTCAATGAGAAGTTTGCAAAGGACCATCTATGGGTAACAAAGGCAGAGATGAGCGAGTATTTCACAGAGGAATATATGAATCAATCATTCAGGCTCATTTGGGACGATTGCTACTATAACTACATCTAAATATAACATTGACCTCAATCGATAATCATTCATAATCCACCATTCATCATTCATTATTCATCTTTATTTAATTAATTTATAATTCATGGAGGGAGGTCATGGACCAATTAATTAATTAATTGCCATTTATTAATAATAGTTTGGCAAGAATTATTAAATGATGATCATCACAAATTTGAACTTCCCCAGCGGCCTTTCACTTCATTAGCCTCAAAGCCAACTGTTGCCACACTTCTGACCACATCGCCACACTCACTCACACCTACACACACACACATACACTCACTCAATTACATTCATCCACACATGATAGAGTCAGACCACCAAGGTGGTGAAATGGGGAATACCTTGTTCACTTGTTCACTCACTCATTCACTCTCTTACACACAAGACATTACCATTAGCTCAATTGGAGTTGGATAGAGATAGAGATAGAGATAGAGACTCAGACACAGACTCAAAGAAACAGACATGGTGCAGGGCCCGCTCCACTCAGCCCTCGCACTCTTTTTGGTGCAATGCATGTTCATCATCCTGTTGTCGAGATGTATTGGATGGCTGTTTGGCAAGATACAACAGCCGTCGGTCATTGCAGAGATCATTTCTGGTATAATATTGGGACCGACTGCAATGGGTCAGATACCAAACTTCTCAGCGACACTCTTTCCCAAAGAGTCGGTGGACATACTCAGCGTGTTTGCACAGGTCGGTCTCATATTCTTCATGTTCATCATTGGACTTGAGCTTGATCCCACCTTGTTCCGATCACAGATCAAAAAGTCATCGATCATTGCCATGGTCAGCATCATCTTCCCCTTTGGCCTTGGTCTAGCTGCATCAGTCTATCTTGCACACATTCAATCAACACGGTGGACATACTCCCTTGGTATCTTTATTGGTGTGGCACTATGTATCACAGCATTCCCGGTCCTCGCAAGGATACTCACGGCCAAGAAGTTACTATCTACGCCAGTATGTACATCAGTATCCGCGGTCTCGCACTTGTACTCACTCTCTTGCTCATTCAATAAAACAACACAGATTGGTATATTGACGATAGCTTGTGCTGCGATCAATGATATATGTGGATGGATACTATTGGGTCTGTCAGTTAGTTTGGCGGGCAGCTCAAACTCGTTGGGAACAGTGTGGACTTTGTTGGCAGCTGCTGGATTCGTTGCAGTAATGTTGGTGATCATACGTCCAGTCTTAAACAAGGTACTTGGTCTGTTCTGGCATGTCGATCCGAATGCATCGACAGGATCACATCCACCATCACCATCACATCTGGTCATGAATGGTGTAGTATTCTTACTATTCGCTGCATCATGGTCTACTGAAGTCATTGGCATTCATGCAATGTTTGGTGCATTTACACTTGGATCAATCACACCAAAGACTGGTGGATTCAATCAAGCCATCACGGAGAAGATTGAAGACCTTATCTTGGTCTTCTTGTTGCCGCTGTACTTTGTAGTGTCTGGTCTTCGAACGGACTTGACTACACTCAATACTGGAGATGCATGGATAGGCGTCCTGTTGATCATCTCATGTGCATGTGTTGGAAAGATTGTTGGCTCGGGAGTGACTGCGTTCCTCTTGGGAAGTACTAAACGCGATGCACTATCCATTGGTATCCTCATGAATACTCGTGGACTGGTCGAGCTCATTGTACTCAATCTTGGATTGGACTTTGGCATCATCAGTACCAAGGTCTTTGGCATCATGGTCCTCATGGCAGTGTTCACTACACTCCTCACAAGCCCACTCATATCATTGGTGATGAAGAAGGAGCGTCCAAAGGATGGCACAGAGGACTTCACCGTGGTTCTTTGCACACCATCATTGAAGATCGGTCCATCATTGGTGGATCTTGGTTACACGATTGGCAACAAGACAGTTAGAACGGTCAGGCGAAAGAAGATGAAGAAGGTTTATTTGTTGTCGGTATCCGAGGTCAACGATCGTCCTTCCGACTTTATTGGTCAGATCAGGAGGGATTTCTCCCGATCATCATATTCACATCTCATTCATCAGGGTGCCGCTATGAAGCTTAAGGTATCCTATCACTCAATCGTATCGGACAATGATCATTTATCCAAAGAGATAATTAGCTTCTCCAACAACAAAAAGGCTGATCTACTCATTGTTGGAAGGGACACTGGCAACATGATACAAGGTCGTGGTGGTATGATCAATCAAGGTGTACAATGGTCAATCTTCAAGAATGCCGTCACTCACATCGGTGTGTTCACTGATCGTTCTGGATTCAAGAATGCACCTCATCGATTCCGTCGAATATTATTGTCATACATGGGTGGAAGCAATCCAAATGATGCCGAGGCTTTGGACCTGGCCATCAGGATGTCCGAGACTGATGGAGTACACGTCACTATAGTGGTGTTTGACAGCAGACTCTATGCACGATACAGGAAGCAACAATCAGAGAAGCAACTTATGGCCGCAGTAGTTGATCCCAATAGCAACAACAACATTCAATCAAATCCTTTGAACAGTTCAATGTCGCCTGATGGAGGTGGACCGACCACCGATAACATCAACAACACAGACAACATCAACTCCACCAACACCAGCACCAACACCAACAATGTATTGGCGACATCAAGACCACAAGTCAACTTTAACGAACCGAATACTCTTGCTGGTACAACTGAAAGCTTGTCAAGAACAACAGAACTCTTGGCACTGGATCCTATGTATAAGGATGAACATCTGGAACGAGTGATGGATGGAAAGAGTGTGGACAAGGTGGCTGCGATATACAAGCCAAAACGACACAGACTTAGGGTAATCATGGACATGTGTGTACATTACGATCTGTTGGTAGTGCCTCACGAGGAGCGAAAGAAGAAGTCAACAACGACGTCACCATTCCCTGGTATCGACAGGATGCGACGATCATTTGGTTTGAGACGTGTAAATGAGACGAACGATCAACAACAGCATTTGGATCAACAATATGATGAGGAACCTATCACGATTGAGCTACCATCTGCCATCCATGTTGGAGAGCCAACTTCAATCCATTACTCACCACCATTGCAATCTGACCACGACCATGATATTAATATACCTCTTGAGGAGAGAACGATGCCAACGACGGATGACTCGCCACCATCAGATTTGACGCCGCCCCCTCTGCCGTCTTCCAATGACTATGATGGCCAGGACTTCTGGAGCAACTGTCCAATATCAACATTGATCATTTATCGCAAGCCGACGACGGCGACGACAGCAGCTGCTCAAGACAACACACCATACAGCGATCTCCAAGAGGTCAGCATCCCACCACCGAGCAGCAGTGGCAACGAGACGACAAACCAAGGCCAACCATGAGGTTGCCCTCTATGGATATTATGGCAATACATAAAACGAAACGATGTTATTTACAGTGTTTGTGGGTGGGGATATCCAACAACCTATGCCATACGGACGGGGATGGTGTGAAGGCAGTAGCTGGCAAGCCAGCTGTAGCCCCGGACACCACCAGACGGAATCCTGCTTTGACTTAGATCTTCTGTCTCTTCTGTGACTGACTTGAGTTCCTTCTCGCGATGAATGGCATTTGTGCAAAGCTTGTTTGAATCTTTGAATGATTGATTGAATGAATGTAAGTAATGGTGACAAGAGGAAGACAGGAGACAGACTCCTTTGAGTGATGCTTACGGATGATATTGGATCAATAACTGGTGATGATGATTGTTTGATACCTAACGGTTCGGCAAAGACCACTTTCAAGACGTATCCAGGTGGATACTTGATTCCATTTAGTTCGTTCTTGGCAATGAGAGCAGCTTGTGGCGTGCTGTAGTTGACGTAGGCAAATCCCTTGGACTTGTTGGTAACCTTGTCCTTCTTGAGGTCACAATACTCCATGCCTGGATATCTTGAAAACAGCTTGTGGAGGTTCTCCTGTGTCACACTCTTGTGACAAATTACAAACAGACGCTGTCTTGCTGCCATTGTTGGGAAGATACCATATGGGTTGGCGAACTCTGCCTGGAAAGGGTATGGACTTGCTCCCATCTGATAGTGTTGTTAGTGTCATTGCAATTGGCAAAGGATCTACTTCATAATTGATAGTTACCATTGGGATTTGAACCATTTGAACTGTTTCTGGTTGAGTTGGCTTCTGGAAGCCCTTGGACTTTGGTTGTGCGATGATAGCTTTGATCGATTTGTCTAATGAGGTGATTGAGTTAGAGATGAGTGATTGATTGATTGAGTGAATCATGATCATACCATCTGAATCGTTGATAGCTTCCATTGCCACTGCGGCAGTTGAACTCTTGGAGAACTTGACAAAGGCGTATCCCTTGGATTCGTTTGTGTCTCGCTCACGTACAAGCTTGATATGCTCCAGGTTGCCAAAGTCCTTGAAGCGCTTGTTCAGATCGGACTCGCTGATGTCCTTCTTGCAGATGACAAACAGACGAGAGTTTGGAGGTGTGTCCTCAGGGTCGGATGTTGTCTGGTGTGGGGGTTTGTTGGTCTTGCCCTGGCCCTTGTCTTCGGCGATCAGCACCTTGATTGGTGTAGGGTCAGCATCGGCAATTGTGGAGCCATGCATTGACTCAATGGCCAGCGCTGCAGACGAGGTCTTGGTGTATTTGATGTAGGCAATGCCCTTGGACTCGTTTGTCTCCTTGTCCGTGACGACCTTGCACGACTCGATGACGCCATATCGCTTGAAGGCGTTGACGAGCATGGTCTCGGTGATGTCCTTGCCACAGATGATAAAGATTCGAGAGAAGGGCATGTCAGTGCCTGCATTGGATGGCAATGGAGGCGTGGTGATTGCCTTGGCTGAAGAGGAGGAGGTTGAGGTGGTGGATGTGTGTCTGTGGTCTGAGTAGTGGCCAGAGTCTTCGAGTTGCTTGTACTTGTTGTTGGCGGCCAGCATCAGTTTGTTTTTCATCTTCTCGTGATCCAGTGGTGAAGAGTGAATGTCGTCCTCATCGTCAACATAGTCGTCATCAGAGAATGCTTCGCCGTCGCTCTCATCCACATCCTTGGAGAGCTCATGAAGATGGAATGCAGAGTTGTTGTCCAGTTCATTGTCAGATGAGTGATCAGTGTTGCCAGAGGTGATTGGCTTGGTTGGGGTCGTGGTCGTTGCAGCAGTAGCAGCAGGGGGAGTAGATGGGGCAGCGGGGGCAGCAGCAACAGCAGGAGTAGTTGTAGTGTCTGCTGTTGCAGTTGATTGAATATCAGGGTTGGTTACAAGTTCTGTCATTGTCAGGTCCTTTCAATTCAATTCAAATTCCAATGTTTTGTTTTGTTTGTTGTTTGTTTGTTTGTTTAGTTCTCGTTCAATTGATTGATTGATTGATTGTTAATGTATGTGTAGTTTGGTTTCTCTGTTTAAAGTCCGCAGTTCAGTTTCAAACAGTCAATAGAAGAGTCAATGTGTTTATGTTGATGTAGTGTTGTTCGATCTGTAAGGTCCAGCTTCATAAATATGATAGATTGTTAGTTATGTGTCACACAAAGAGGGAGGGAGTGAGCAAACCAAACCTACTCAAGTGTATACAGATCAGAATGTCAATGTAGGTTATAGTTTGTAAAGTAAGGAAGTAGAAGTAGAAGTAGAAGTAAAAGTAGTAAAGTAAAGTATTATATATGTACGTGTTGTGTTAGTACATGTATGTGTATGTGTATGAGTTGAAGTTGAAGTGTTTAGAATCCAAGTTGAAGTTGTTTATCAAGGTGTGAGATGATTTTGTGAGGGAAGTTTTTTTTTGTGTGACTGCCCGTAACCACGATCAATGGGCATGGACAAGTCAAGACAAGCACATGTGACAGGTCCTAGGACTCGGCTGTGTGTGATGTCACATCGCATATACATATCGATATCAGAGTATAGTATAAGATGTCAAGGGTCTTATTAAGACTCTTTATTGTTTCTCGCTTGGTGATTCTGGCTCAACACAACCAGCCTTCTCGAGCATGGTCGTCAGCTCACCAGACTTGTACATTGACATCATAATGTCAGCACCGCCAACAAACTCGCCCTGAATATATACCTGAGGGAATGTCTGCCAGTTGCTATGTATGAGTGAGCGAGCGGGAGATGACGATGTAAGTAAGATTGAATGAATGATTGAATGAATGATCGAACTACTTACGAGAAGTCCTTCATGCCTTGACGAAGATCATCGTCTTCTAGGATGTTGTGTGACTTGTAGGTGGCACCCTCAGCCTCGAGGATGCGGACGACTGTGTTGGAGAAGCCACATTGTGGACGCTCTGGTGTTCCCTTCATGTAGAGCACGCATGGTGCCTCATTGACCTGTGTGGTCAACTTCTTCCTGTACTCCTCACTGATCGATGCATAGAAGCGTCTGAATGATGTCTGACAAGCAGGTCTGAGCAACATGTTAGTTGCGTTGGCACTTGGGCGCAACAAAGTCCTAAAGATCATTGAAGTGTTCTGTTGGTTGAGTTTGAGTTTGAGTATTAATATGAGTATGAGTATGAATATGAGGAATGAGGTGATATAGTATATCTATTACATACCATCCTTTATAAAAATTACTGTTATCTCCTTTGAATTATTACAACTACTCAATGAATAACATTAGATTCATTCGGCTTCTAAAATTTGGATCTCTATGTTGTTCCCAAAAAGAATGAATCGACAATAATAATGTTACTACCTTGGTGTTTCAACACCTAATAATGATCTAATGATGGTTTCCCGAATGTTAAGTATTTATCTTGGAGTTAGGTATTAAAAGGTTCCAATAACAATAACTACTTTGGCTCCCACCAATTGAAGGCTATTACTTTATAACATACCAAAATATACTTTAAAGATTACTTTGGTCTCCATCAATGTATACTTTAGAGATAACTTTGGCAATTACTACAGAGTATCCACTGATGAACTTCAAGAGATGTCTGTGGATTGAGGGATACTTTGAAAAGTGAGTGAGTGGTGAACTCAAAATTAAGAGTGAGTTCACAGAGTCAATCAATCTATCAAACAGGCGTTCATTCATTCATTCATATACACAAGTTAGTTATACATATTGTAGTGGAGATATATAGATTGGATCGATAGATAGATAGGAGTTTAGAATGGAATCATTGACATCTTTCATTAAGGAATCAAAGACTTTGAGCGTTGAGGATGGAAAGGCAAAGCTCTCAAATATCATAAAGGAACTGAACCTCCCCGAAGACTTTACCGCAAAGATCATCAATGCCTTATCAAGTGCAATGGATGCCTTGTAAGTACTTACATCACTTTAATGATCGAATCATACGACTGACTGACATCAACAACATCAATGGACTCAACAGAAAGGCAGGCGTCAACGCCAAGGTAGACTCAAGCCTCAAGTCACTCAATGATATTCTGAAGGCTGGTACCAAGCAGGGCAACTTCATGCTCCATCATTGCATTGGAGCACTCTTGCTCGCATTGGTATGTACATAACACTTCAATGTGCTTGATTGATTGCATTACTTACTGACTCCATGGTGCACCATCATCATCAACTCAGTCCCAACAAATGGGCTCTGGTGCAACCAAGCTCAATGTAGTGTCAATGGCATCTGAGCAACTTCAGCTTGCCACCGCTGATAATGACAAGCACATCGAGTCCATTGTTCTTCTTCGCGATGCATACAGATCACTGGTAAGTCAACATGTCATCGAGGCCCTCCAGGTAGTCACATACCAAGGACCTGTCCTAACATGATCATTCTTACGTACACACAAACAGACTCAATTGACAAATGGCAATCAACAAGGATACTACTCTGGACGTTTGTCCGACTTTGAGAAGATTGTCCAAGATATTGAGCAGGGCCGTGACTTCAAGCTGCCTCTGTCCTCAAACACAAAGATTCTGCAAGCCTATTCCCTCAAGGACAAAGGAGCCGAGAGCTTCAAGACTGGCGATTACAAACAGGCCATATTCAACTACTACAGCGCCAAGAACTTTATCATGGGCCTCCAAGACCTGAACCAAGAGAAGACCAATGAGACCAAGGCTCTCAAGCATGTCCTTCTCAACAATATTGTAAGTAGTAGTACTCCTTGGACATTGATTGATTGGTCACTGACATGCTCGCACTTGTAGGCCATGTGTTTGATGAAGCAACAAAAGTATACGAATGCATTGAGATCGTTGGAGGAAATACTTCTGGAGGACGCGGACAATGTCAAGGCTTTGTACCGCCGTGGTAAATGCCAGATTGTATTGGAGAACTACTCAGAGGCTGAGACAGACCTGTTGAGAGCAAAGTCATTGGCGCCCAACGACAAGGAGATCCTCAACGAGTTGGCCATTCTCGCTCAAAAGACCAAATCACACAATGCCAAGGAGTCCAAGGCCTACTCGAAGATCTTTGATTGATTGATCGATACACGGAATACCTCCCCCGCACACAAACAATACATACATACGTACATTATGATTGACTGGATGTTGTCCTTTCCAGCTCTCTCTCTCTCAATCACTCCAACTTCTAAAAAGGGGCAGCCTGCCTGCTTCAATCTTGAATGAATGAAGCCCACTTGTGAGTTTTTTTTGACTTGAGTTGCCCCCAGCACGCTTGTGGGACTCGCGAGTCCGTTGACCTATTCCCACAGCAACTCCTCTCTCATCGACGCCGGCGTTCATTATCACTCTCTTACTCTATCAACCTTTGCTCAATCAATCAATCAATAATCATTTATCGATATATATATATATATATTATATTGTTGTGTGTGTGTGAGTAGTTGTATCAGTAGTATTAGCATTAGGTAGTACAGTACAGTACAGTTACAGTGGTCACTAGGTAGCTTATATATTCTCACTTCAAAATTAAGTTAATGGACAAGGACAAAGCTACTCAAATCGCTGCCATCTTCTTGGTTCGATACTACACGGTGCTCTCCAAGAGCCCTGAGAACCTCAAGAACTTCTATCATGATCGTTCATCCTTCACTCGCAGATCAATTGGAAACGACAAGTCGCAATCAGTTGTTGGTATTGATGTATGTATATCAATATCATTCATCGTCTCATCTCGCGACACTTCTAACAAACAAACAAACAAACAAACAATGATATGATAGAACATTCACAACTATGTGATGGAACAAGGTTTGCTCGGCAGTCAGGTGTCAATCAAGACGATTGATTGTCAACAATCATTGAATGATGGTTTGTTCATCTCGTGCACTGGAATCCTTCAAAAGGATGGAGAACAAAGCAACATCTTCCATTCATTCTTCTTGGAGAAATCACAACCAAGCGAGAGCTCAAAGAATGGTGAGAGCTTCTACGTCTTGAACGACATCTTGGTCACTGGCGAGAAGGAGGAGCTTACCCTCACCTCTGAGAACTCTCCAGACGAAGGTAACTATCTCATGTCTTTCACTCGATTGCCTTAGTCAATCACTCATTCATTCGTTCAATCAATCATATACAGCCACAGAGGATCATATTGGTGAAGCAGAGGAGATCACAAACCAGATCACCACTGAGGAACCAAACGGCGATCATATTCATCATGTTGAGCAGGAGACAACCTCAACATCCAATGATGTTGTTGTTGTTGCCGCTACTGCAGCAGTCGTAGCGACACCAAATGGCAACGCAGTCGCAACTGAAGTGGTCATTGCTGAGCAAACTCAACAGCAGCAGCATCATGTGGAGGACAACAAACCAATCACAAGCAGCGAGACAACAGCTCCTTCAGTGGCAGCTGTCCCAACTACCACTGCTCCCAATGGTGTGTCCAAGCCTGTCCCTGCAGCCACCACCGCAACCACCTCCACTGCCCCTTCAACCCAACCGGCCACACCAGCCGCACCAAAGTCTTGGGCGGCACTTCTCGCCTCCAACAACAATAAGCAGCCAGCCGTTGCCATTCAATCGACACAGAATGCAACTACACAGACACAACAACATCAACAACCACAGCCACAACAGAGCAACAACGCCACCACTTCCACCACCTCCACAACCTCTGCCACACCAGCAATCAATCCCAAGGACAGCCACAAGGAGGGCTGTACCATCTATGTCAACTACGCCTCCGTCGTCAAACAACCACTGGAGGTGCCACAGCTTCGTATGGTCTTTGGCCAGTACGGCACGATCACTCATCTCCGTGTGCTGCCAACCTACGCCTTTGTCGAGTATGCCCTGCCCGATCACGTGCAGAACGTGCTCGCGCACATTAAGAACGGTGGCGTTTTGGCCATCAACGAAAATCCACTCAAGGTTGAGGAGAAGCGCGCCAACATGGCAGGCGGCAAGCAGTTCAAACACAAGAAGGACAAGCCGCTTGACAACAAGGCAGCATCGCCAGACAACAGCAAGCCACAATCATCACCTCAAACATCGGCCACGTCAACAGCAGCCGCTGACAACAAACCAAAGCACAAGTCCCAACCAGCAGCGGGATCTTCATCATCATCGTCGTCCTCATCGTCCACACAGCAGCAGCCAAGAGGTGGCCCAAGGTCGTCCGATGGAAAACCAGCAGCATCATCAGCAGGAGGAGCTCCAAAGAGACAAGCCAAATAAATATTTAATAGTAGGATAGGTCTATGTCCTATTGGACATGTCAACCAAGCCAGATATCCACCTGGTGCTGTCGTCCAACAATCTTGATATAGTCTACATTCTTCTACCAAGAGTGTTGTCATTCATGCCGTGCCGTCCAGCACCGACTGGCGAGCCAAATGATTGAAAGAATGATTGAGTGAATGATGGCGGATTACTTGTCCTCCTTGTGTTTGATCATGTTTGTTTCGACGAGATGTGGTACCTCTGCTGCCATCCATGGTGCAAGCTAGATTGATTGATTGATGTGCTTGTATATTAGTACTTGCTCAAAGGACTAGAATTGTGCTCAGAGTAGTCTACATACACCAAGTGCCAGAGCATGAGCAATACCAAAGTGTGGAACATTCCTTGCCCACAGTGGCTTGAAGTGAACTGTCAGACAGATCTTTCCACCTCTATACATCTTCTCTGTCTTTCCCTCTAACTCTGGGATTGCAATCTCTGGTGCTGTCTCTGGGTATGTAATTGGCATCTATATAAACATGAATCAATCATGAGTATACTGTTATCATCTATTGCTGTTGATTGTTCTCTTGATACATACATCAAACTCAAGATCGAACTCATACTTCTTAAAGTTGTATATATACCAGCACTTGCCTTGCCATCTGTCATGTAGGTGTGTCAGGTGATGTGTAGAAAGTGGTCAGTGAGATGTTGTTGTTATTGTTAACATTATGATATATATAACATACCTTGTACCCAATGGATTTGACTCAATAGTGAACCAGTCATTATCAGCCTGCTTATTGATCTCGACGTACTTTATCAATGCCATATACTCCTCCTTCATTCTTTCAATCCACTTGTCACCATCACGTGGACCTGCACGTACACTTAGCAGTGGTATCTTGGCAACAGTCTGTTTAGTCTCACTATCCATCTTATCTTATATATGTATATATCTATATATCTATGTTATATTCAATAACTAATCCAATTAGATTGAGGTGATTGGATGAATGAATCAAGGGTGACACCTCTTCCCGAATGTTTTTCGCTCGTGTGATGAAGGTTGACTTCATGAACTTCTTCATTCTTGGATGTGATGCTGAAGCGGACAAAGAGAAGAGACAGACTAAAGGTTTGGACTTCAAATTTATGATCATTTATATATATATAAATACTATAGTATTGTTCGAACACATTATTCAATCACTCCTCACTGTGTCACCTGTTGCCAAGCAAGCCAAGTCAACTCTTAGGAACTGCCAAGTTATTGGTTGTTGTTTTGCTAATGTACTGTTGTTTGACAGAGTCGAGAGGTTGGTAGGAAGGCTGACGACAGACAGGGACAGAGAAGGGGGAGGATGGAGCGCGCGGCGGTGTGTACTACTATGAGGGGGGGTTGTTTACAAAATAAGACATCCTTTGGACTCTTTCCTGCTCTTCTTGAGAGGTGGGTTGATGACAGCTCTGATGGCCTCGTCGAATACGTTCTTGAGTCCCTTCTGGGTGAGGGCAGAACACTCGAGGTACTTGACGGCCTGGATCTCCTTCATCTTGCCCATGCCTTGCTCGTAGGAGATTGGGTTCAGCTTCTTCTCCTTGAGTCTGTCCAGGGTCTCCTTGTCGTCACGCATATCCAACTTGGTGCCGACCAGGATGATGGGCACATTTGGTGCGTGGTGGCAGATCTCTGGGTGCCACTTGGCAGTGACGTTCTCAAACGACGATGGTGAGATGATGGAGAAACAGATCAGGAACACGTCAGTCTGTGGGTATGACAGTGGACGCAGACGATCATAATCCTCTTGTCCGGCAGTATCCCATAGACCCAAGTTAATTGGCTTTCCATCGACCATAACATTAGCACTGTAGTTATCAAAGACAGTCTGTTGTTGTGATTGATTTGATTGATTTGAATGAGTGAGTACATTGTTTGATTGATTGATCGATTGATTTGATCGAAACTTACTGGGATGTACTCGCCTGGGAAGGCGTTGGTTGTGTAAGAGATGAGCAGACAGGTCTTACCGACTGCTCCATCACCGACGACTACACACTTGATTGCTTGCATTCTCTAAGTTGTTGTTTGTGTAAAATGTACTATAGTTTCAAGAGTAGTAGTAATGTTAGTTATCTGAATCATTCATTCATTCATTCATTCAATCATTCAAAGTTGAGTGAGCTAGATATTCGCATTATCATCCAACATCATCATCACTATCATCACTATCATGATCGATCGACTGTTACAACTACTAACTACTACTACTAATAAGTGACATACCTATAATTACAGAATAAGTATTACTAATTAATGATTGATTTGAAATGTTTGATTGATTGATTTGATTGATTTGTTTGATTGATTGATTGAATTGGAGGGGAAAGAGAGAGAAGAGAGAGAAGGGAATAGCAGACGGGTGGGTGGTGTTAGTTAGTCATTCAAAGGGTGTGTTCATCTCCATCCATCCCCGCAACATCATCAACAATAACAAGAAGCATTGTGATGTACAGGCAGCATCAGTATCAGCACATAATTGGATGGATAAATACAATATTATTATAACGTTGGTGTTGAACTTGTTCTAGCTTGTTGTTGTTGTGACAGAAGCAGTAGCAAGGAGAATAGAGTATAAAGAGAGTAGTGTGAAGTGAGCGCTTGTGTATGTATGTATATATGTGTATGTATGTATGTACAGAAAGAGACAAGAGAGTGAGTGAAATGAAGGTATGATCGTGTGATTGATTGGTGGTTCAGGAGGTGGTGATGGTGTGTTCAATTAATAATAATTATTTTTTGAATTTCAGATAATCAAGATATATCATCAATTTTGAATGAATGAATTGATGGTTGCTGTTGTTGGTGTGTGTGTTGTGAATAGCGCGAGATTGTGGTGTGTGAGGGAGGGAAGGAAAGAGCTCGAAGTTGAAGAGCCAACTCCAGAATGTAGCTGTGAGGTCCTCACCCAGGAGGGCAAAGCCTCATATGTCCTCGCCATCCGTTCGTCTTGTAGTTGTTGTTTTGTCATGATTGATTGATAGATAGATAGATAGTGATTGACTAAGAGTGATTGATTGACATATAGATTGATATGGTATGATATGATTGGTTGTTTGACAGACCAAATGATATCACTTACCTGTTTTGTTGTTTAGTTGCTTGTTTGTTTGTCTGATTGCTTGACTGATGAACTGAATGAATGGTTGGAATAGAGTATTTATTGATTGAGATCAATCAACAACATCGTTGATACAAAATTAGATCACTCAATCAAACACACACCAAAACAATTCATTGATTGGTTTTCACTCTGTCCTCTTCATCCAAACTATGTGTGTGTGAGTGGGTGTTCCAATCCAATTATTTGGAAAGTGATGGGATTATTGAGATAAGGCAGAAATGGAGACGATGTCATCATCATCATCACCGATCGATCGTCATTGCTAATAGCAATGAACATCTACAATACACATTGGACAACATGTCCATATATCTTCATTAATTCATTGTGGAACTTAATCACAACAAAGTGATCATCATCATGTTGAAGTTGTTGTCGTTGTCGTAGTTGTTGTGGAAGTTGGCGTTGGGTTTTGGTAAGGTTTCATCTGTCCCCATGCCTTGCCAATCGACCTAAACATCATCATAATTGATTCAATATCAGTACTCATGTATCCATCCAACAATCATCCATCTATCCATCAATCAATCAATCATTACTTACATGGTTACTGTAATCGGTATGTTGATTCTATCTTTGTACACTTCGGACATTATAAGTCGAATCTCTTGACATATGGCCGGATTGTCTTTGATCATCGTGTCTGGGATCTCATAGATCAGTTCATCGTGAATCTGGAGCAGTAGACGAGGATCGTTCAATGGTGCCGGATACTGTGTGGACAGTGAGTACAAGTAGCTGTTGATCTTGATCATTGCCTCTTTGATCACATCGGCTGCACTGCCCTGGATGATCGAGTTGACCGCCTGTCGTCTGGCGCGGTGTCCAGCCAAATCATCCAGAATATTTGGCAGCAGTCTCCTTCGTCCACCCATCGTCATCACATACAAGTTCTTCTGTGCGTTGGCAATCTCCTTCTCAATGAACTTGTTGATGCAGTCAAACTACAATATATGCGTACGTAGGTGTTAGCAATCATGATGAATGAGTGAGGGATTGTGATCATAGCATACCTTTCCAAGGAATGATTGTTTGTAGACCCTTGCCTGTTCCTCGCTAACCTTGAGTATTTGACTGAGTGATCGTGCACCAATGCCGTACATGATGCCGTATACTATGCGCTTGGTTTGTTCTCGCTCCACGGATGTCACTTCACTGGCTTGCTTCGACTTCCAATGTGATGCCATGTATTTGAACACGTCGACATCTCTCTCGAAAAAGTCCTGCAGGATCTTATCGCCAGAGTAGTGAGCCATGATGCGCAGTTCAATCTGGCTGTAATCCAAACCGAGCAATGTGTATCCAGTGCGCGACACAAAGCAATCTCGAATGTTGAGTGATAAATGGTTGTTGTTGTTGGTCGCGTCGTCGGCGACATCGATCAAGTCATCGAGCTCAGGATCGTCCTGATCCAACAAGTTGATATTGAGTGCGTCCCTGGGTATGTTTTGAAGGTTCTAAAGCAAGTGCAAAGGACTAGTGTTAGGATAAAGGTGACGACGATGACTCTGTACACATCATGGCTTACAGGTGACTTGGATGACAGACGTCCTGTGGCTGTACCCGTGTGTATCCAGGTGCAGCGGATGAAGCTGTTGGTACTGCCTTCGCAGAGTTTGAGGAATGGCGTGACGTAGGTACTCAATATCTTGTTGCAATGTCGATACTCCAAAACGTCCATTATGAGCAGCTTCATCTCCTCATCCCTCGATCTCTCCAAATGACCGACCAGCGTCTTCTTCTGTGTGTCATTAACCTTGAGATGGAATGTTGTCCGCAGTATCTCAAGCAGTTGCACACTACTTGACAATGGCTTGTCCTTTGTATACTTCTCCTTTGCCTTGCCCTGTAAGTTCTCCACATAGTCCTTCAAGTTTGAATGACATTGGAGAAGTGTCATGGAGCTGAATGCAATGCCTTGAAGCTCAATGTCTGCGTACGTGGGTTGGGAGGGAGGGGTCAGTCAGGCATTCAATCAGCGACTCGCCATTGTGAGTATACAAACTGGCAAGAAGTGGAGTGACCTTCATCTCTTGGAGGAATGGTGCAAACAGGTTGTTGGTGATCAGGTTGTACTCCATCATAATCATGAGTAATGTTCCATTCTTCATGTCATTTCCAAACAATGAGAAGTATGAATCGCCAGGTGCATTGGCAGTGAGGTCATCAGCTTGGCTCAGAGCTTTGAGAGTAAGGTCCAAATTGATATGATTGTCCTTCTCCACAAACATATTGTAAAGGTAGCTCAAATGATAGTCGCCCATCTCTGTCGTCTCTGGATCGAACACCCAGCATGCTATCCTCGGGTCCCAAAGATTATGTGGACACACTATGTGATTGATTGATTGATTGATTAGTATGCCATTGATTGAGTGAACCATTGATGGTACTTACGCCACTGATCCCTTTGGAGGAATGGTTTCAATGACTCTTGGCAGTTGTATGAGATCTTCTTGATGCCATCATCTTGAAGAAGTTTGATGATATAGTCCAACTTGTCTTGAGCGGTCTGTGTGAATGTGCTTGAGCTGCTGACCAGTGACAGGTAGTACTTGTGCACTTCATACTCTGTCTGTTGACTCAACAAGTCCTTGCTGATCGCAATCCAGAGACCAACTCCAATTGGTTCTCTATGTGAGGTGTCGTCCATACCCTCATCAGACTTCTTCTTCTGTTGTTGGTTGAGAGTTGTTAGTCATTCATTTGTTCAATCATTCAATCAATCAATCAATGGATCATACCTTGATGATGTGAGTCCTAAAGTTGGTGTTGTCATTGTCGAATAGTACACCGATTGTGATGGCGAAGATGCTGTTGTTACTGGAGTGGTTGGTGATGAATGCGTTGAGAGTGGGGACGTCTAGCTCGGTGTAGCCAGGTGGTGAGGAGAACTTCTTGGTTTGGATCTTGTGATGTGTGAATGAGTTGTAGGCTGCGGGTAGTTGATCACTGCTAACATCATCCGCGTCATCTGGAACGTCATCAGCATGCAATGTGACTGTCTCGTAAGTGTAGTTGCTCTTTGCCTTGGTTGGCGTGACCTTCTTGAATTTCGGTTGCGCCTGTGGCTTCTTGACCTGCTTCTTTGGCGACGCCTTCTTCTTGGGCGTCAGCGTGGGTGGCGCGCTGGCCGATGTCTTTGATGGTGTAACGTGCTTTGTTACAAAGCCATCGAGGTCCAGTGAGCTGGGATGGCTGCCTGCGCCCATGCTTGCGCTGCTGTCCAGTGATCCAGCAGCAGAGAGTGACGACTGGTCCACGTCAGAGGATTGTGATTGAGATTGTGATGCTGGTGGGTGGTAATATTGCTGCAACTTGATGTTGGCCTTTGCAGATGATTGTGGCTGTGAGTACTCGAGGAGCGAGTCATCATCGTAGTCCAATGATGATCCATCTTGATCTCCATTGTCTACCCTTGGTTTCTTCTGTGGGTATGATGGTGCTGATGAGTCGTCGGCAATGTTGTGACCATCTTGGTTCTTTCTAGATGCACTCCATTCTTCAGTGTCTGGTGCAGCAATGCCATATGTCGCCAATAGATTGTTGATCTGATGTTCTTTATACATTGCTCTTGTCGACAATACTTGTGGATCGCCCCAGTGATGGTACTCCCTTATTGGTTTGACAGTGGGCGGAGGCTTTGCCACCGGTGGAGAGCTTGTCTTTGTCCAGTCGGTCTTTAAAGTTGGAGTGAGCTTGAGTGTTGCCAATGGATTTGGTACAAGCTTTGAAAGTAGTGACCTTAGACCAAGCTTAGTTGTGCCTGGTGTCAGTGTAGTTGTTGTCGTTGTTGTCGTTGGATTTAGGGTCGGTGTAAGGGTTGGAGTTAGAGTTGGAGTCGATTTCAAAGTGAGAGGAGGGCTCAGTTTGAGCTTTTGTAAAGATGATGTCGTTATTGATGGTGGCGTAGCTAAGGAGACAGGTGTCGATGTTGTAGTATTGAGTTTCAAAGATAATGGACTTGTCTCATTTGAGCCAGGTCCAGAGCCAGGGCTGGGACTAAGCTGTGTATTTGTTCTTGGAGGTGATACTCTTTGCAAGATGTCACCATTGCTCAATGTATTACTACTGATGTTGTTGACGATGTTTGTGATTGATGTGCTTGATTTGAGTAGCGGTGCAGATAATTGTCGTTGAGTTATTGGTGTCGTCAATGTAGTCGTTTTAGTAGTCGTTGTTGGTGAAAGGTCTGATGTTGAGGATGACAAAGGTGATGGTGTTGCTTTCGGTGTCGATGTCGATGTCGATGTCGATGTCGCTGTCACTTTCATTGTTGATGCTGTCGTAGTAGTTGATGTAGGTGTTTGTTGAGTTGTTGGTTGAGTCTTTGTTGGAGTTGATGCAGCAGCAGCAGTCATTGAAGTAACAACAACATCAGTGTTGCCATGTAACAGGTTGAGGAAGTCCTCATCCACAGGTGAATCAAACTCATCATCCATCATCGTGTCATGTCTAGTCGCGTCTCTTCTCTTATCGTTAATGTGAACTTGAATGATTGACTGACTTTGAATGTGTGACTTCATTTCTCAGAAATGGAACATTTAACTTCATTTATGGTTGTCTTTTGCAAACTGAGTAAACTTACAAACTCGAACTAGTTGTTGACAGCCATCTACAATTGATGGATAACAATATTGATCTATTAAATGATTGATTGCGCTACCATTGTATAACATCCATTTAATGTAGTTAACTCAAGTTGGATTTTGTTTATTAATTAATCTTTTTGAATATTATATTATGTAAGTAAATTAGAGATGAATGAATGGAGGCATGGAGGAATGTAGTATTGTGTATGTGGATTACATCTTCTTCGATCCCCATTTATTTGTTGCTTTTGCTTGAGGCACCGCCAGTTGATCCAGGTGTGATTCCAAGTGCTTTGAGATTGTTCTTTGAGTAGATCGATAGGTTCTTCACAGACTTGAGATGCTTGATCAGTGATGTCTTGAGCTCACCCGAATCGTTTATTGCCAAATCAAACTGCGACGACGGCAAGTCCATGATTACAGACAACGACTCGGGCTTGGCCTTGGTGGCACACAGCAGGAAACCTCTCCACAGCTGCGGCATGTTCCAAATCTGTTTGGACACGAGATCGCGCATCATATCCACAATGAACTGCTTCAAGTGCGGATAGGTCGTGAGCGACTGGATCATCGTACGCATGATGTTGGCAGGCAGCGTGTGTTGGCCCAGCAACTGCTGGATCGTGACGGCCATCGTCTCCTGCTTGAACACACTTGTGTTCTCCACACACAGATTGATCGTATCGATGACCTGCTTGGTGTTGGTCGTGATTAGATGCAGTTGCACCAGCAGCTCCGAGGGCGACAGAGGTGCCAGCGGCAGCGACATCATTTCGACAAACTTGGCCACGTCCTCCTTGGGCTGTACGACAAACGTCGGCAGCAGGCGGATCACCTCGTCCTTCTCCAGGCCGTGGACGACGGGCAGTAGGTACTTGATGTTGGACGTGCTGTTGTACAATGCGCGCACCGCTTGCACCAGCGCGGGCGACAGTTCCGCTCGGTCGTTCGTCGACAGGCTGTCAATAACCTCGTACAGCAGGCGCTCGGAGCCGGCAGGGCACACGCGGATGATGGATAGTATGGCCGGGTTGCTTGGTCCAATCGATTTAACAACGGAACCAAACCTGTCCAGGATGAGCTGCTGCAGCGACGGCGTGCAGTTGGGGAAGACATCCAGTAGCTCGCTTATCAGCTCGGGTTTCTTGACGCAGATCGAGTAGTAGAGTTGCAGATTGTTCTCGAGAATATTGTTGCCCACCATATCTGGGCCCTTGTTCAATTGCAGCGTTGCAAACAGTTGATCAATTGCAAAGCGTTCGATTTTGGAAACGAGTGGCGCGTGACTAAACAGTGTGTCCGAGATGACCTGGATGCTATTGTTCCTAATCTGCTCGTTGGCATTGTTGCTGTGTACGAGCAGACATTGAAGACATTGATCGCGCACCAAAGGTCGCCAGAGGATGAGACTCTGAAGCGTGTTGAGCCCCAGTGTAATGAGGTTGACATCGTCGCAACACAGTCCAATGTGGTCCATGAGTCCCGAAGTGATGACGGGTACCTCCAAGATGAAGTTGCTGATGAATGCCTGGTTGTCCTGCTCATCGTCGAATGCAAACTTGGCCTGCAGCTTCTTAACAATGTTGATGAGAAGTGTCGCGTATCTATTGTTTCCCTCGTCGCCTTGATTGATCTGCATGGACAGCTGCAACTCATTCTGCAGCCACTGTAGCGCCAGCTCACGTCGCAGCTGGAAGTCCTCGAGAATGAACTCAATGATCTGGTTCTGGTATTGCGTTGGCTCCCTGTGCTCGTGAATAGAGAGCAGACGAGCAAACAGGGCCGACCACAGCACGTGCTTGCCATCGCGCATCGACTCTGTCTCGCTCTTGCGTATGCGAGCCAACGAAAGATTGATGATCGACTGAACTTGGTCCTTGGACATGGCCGCCATCTTAAAGACGGGCTTTGGTGTGAATGATGGCGCAGACTCAGAGGCAATACCGACCCTGTTGCCATTGCTGTTGTTGTTGTTGTTGTTTGGGTCGGTCTTGTTGCTGGAGGAGTAGGAGGGTACTCCATTGGAGGCAACGGATGATTCCTCGTCGGCAGCCTGCTTATCTAGAAGCAGGTCCAGCTCATTCTGCTCAGTGTCTTCAAACTGCTCCTGCTTTACATTGATTGGCTGCATCGATGTTGGTGACAGAAGTGGGTCACCAGCATTGGCAGAGTGCATTGGAGGTGATGATTCTCTCATTGCAGCATCCGTCAATGCAGGCGTTGGAGGCGATCCTCCTTGCTGTGGCTGCAGAGGCGGTGACTCGCCCTTGATCCTTGGGTCACGTGTCGAAGTGGCACCTCTAGGGGTCACCTGAGGAGGTGGTGTGTATACAGAGGATTGTTGATGTTGAGGTGTTGGTGTCTGTGGTTGTGGCTGTTGTGGCGGTAACTGTGGCTGTGGTTGTAGATGCTGTAGCACATTGTATGAATTTACAAACATAAATAGCTTCTCGGTGCTTGGATTGAAAGGGATGTTCTGGAGCAGTTGAAATATTGGCGTGATGTTCATGTTGTCCATCACCAAGTCGGCGACAAAGTCGAGTGGCAATTTTGATATGATCGAACTAATTGATTGATTGAGTTAGTCTATCCATCCAGCTTACGTCCACCATCCATCAATCTTACAGTATACGATTTTGAGTATCAACGTCGACGTAGAGACCTGGTCTTGGACCCATTGCCCTGGGCATATTGGGCATGTTGACATTGTTGAATCCAGGTTGTTGGTAGGACATTGGTTGATTGAACTGTGGACTTCCAATACTTGTTGGAATGATGTTGTTGTTATTGATGCCAACACCAACAGCAGTATTGTTCTTGTAGTTATTGTTGTTGCCATCCATCATTCCATTGTTTTCAGACTTAATCTTCTTATTGTCTGATGCGCCGCTCTGTTGTTGTTGTTCATATTGTCGTTTCTTCTTGTCAGGCTCTCCTCTATACCATCGTGATGCCTCATCAATCTCCTTCTGTGATGTGTCTATATTGCTTAAATGCTGATGCCAGGTCTTTGGACAAAGGGTGTAACAATCGTGCTCTTTAATCTAGATTAAGTTGATTGAGTTAGTTGCCGACGCCAGGTAAATGGACCAGTCGAGTCAGAGAGAGAATGACTTACCTTAGTATGGACAGGAAGCAGGTCTTGAGAGTGTGTCTGATGCTCTCATTCTTGATCGAGTTGAACTTGGGTAGGTCCTGGGAACTGGTACAAAGCTTGGGAACAACAAGTGCCATTAGTGCAGTCTGTCGCAGCTTACATATCGTTGTAAGACTTGTAATGAGTAGTATGATATTGGTACTGGTCCTTCCCAAATGGAAGTGGAGCAATGATGTTATGAACGGCAAGGTCAGTAAGGTGATCAGTCAGGTGATCATACGAGGTGGTAGTACTTACATGCTGTTGACATCATTGATGCTATCGAGGAGGATGTTCAAACAGACAAGACCTTCCTTTTGAAGTGATGCTCGGTTGAGTAATGGATGTGTGTCGGGCACTTGATCAAGAGAGAACTCTGCGTCTGCACGACGTGATGATGATGGGTCGGGCATTGAGTAACACTGTACCAATATCTCCAGCATCTTGAATGTGTTTACCAACGTATCCTCATTCGCCATATTACCAGGCTTCAAAATGAACTCCCTCAACTCATTGAATGAGTTCCAAGCTTCCACTGACTCTGTTGAACCTCCATTATGTGCGCTATATTTGATTGATTTGATTAGAGTGAGTGATTGAACGAATGATTGATTGATTGAATGAGCGAGTGATTAATCATACATGAATGATAGTGTAGACCTAATAAGGTTTGTAAAGCAAAGGATTGATCTCTTTGTGATTGTCGGACTCTGATCCATCAGATGTTTGAGTATATCTTTGCTCTTTGACAAGACTATTGATTGATTGATTAATTAATGATGATCGTCGATGAAGTTAGTATTGGCTCGATAACAAGGTGAATGGACATGACATGACATGATAACATACACTGAGGCATTTGTTTACATGTTGTCTCGATGAATGATATGATCTGCTTCTTGATCTGAGCAGTGCTGTCCAATGCGAATTGGATGAGACTGACGTAGTAGGCATTTAGCAGTGATTGATCACGATGAAACATCAGTTCGAATGCACTTGCTAGCAGGTCTACCTTTTCAGCATCGCTTGCTATCGATGCAGTATTTAGCAATGTTGTAACATCCTGATCAGTTGTGGTCGCCATCGCTGTCTCTCTCTCTCTCTCTCTCTCTCTCTCTCAATTATATATATATATATATCTAATCTCTCTATATATATATATATCCACTGCACTCAGTCTATGTACATCATATGATTCGATCAGCTGGCTTGATTGATTGAATGAAATGAATGAATGAATGAAGACGAAGGTGTGTGTGTGAAGTTGCTAGACCTGAACTTTGATGAAGTATTGTCAGACAAGGCGCGAAAAAAAGATAGAATTACATGTAATATATATATTCAATTATTTATTTACCAATAATTTTTTAATATAATATTATCTCTTTCCAAAGAGTATACATTAACGCCTATATATTCAAAAATAAAATAAATATTTAATTATTAATAATTAAAAATGAGATGATCAAATTTATTGTTTGGTTGTAAAAAAAATTTAAAGAGGACAAGATCTCTTTCAAAGACTCAATCTGTTTTCTCCCTTTCTCTCTCTCTATCTTTGTGACAAACACACACTTTAGTCTATTTATATCATTAACACACTTCGCGAAACAGTTCACTCTTGCGCAAGACATCATCCATCTCATTCATTCATTCATTCTATCGATCACACTAGCGTTAACACTTTTTATTACAGATATATACTTTGTACAAAGATATATTGTTATTCAACAAACAAACAAAGATACAAACAAACATTGATTTGATTGCCCGCGCTATCAAATGATAAAGAGTCGTCACAAAGCAGTAGATATTTAGATAGTTAGTTAGATAGTTATATATATAGATTACATAGATTACATAGATTACATA